TTCACGTTTGCCCAAAATATGAACGAGTTCATGAACTTTCGTTCAATGAACGCGTTCAGGCACAACACTGACAACAAGTGTGGAGATCAGCTGGCTGGTGTCCTCAGAGAAATTTTCAAAACCTCGCTGGACCAATCCATAGTGCCATTATACTTCAAGTCTGCCACCATCATTCCAGTCCCAAAGAAGCCTCGGGTCACCTCACTAAATGAAGACCGGCCTGTCGCATCGACTCCAATCATGATGAAGTGCTTCGAAAGGCCGGTTAAAGAACTCATCATCTATGGTCTCCCCCAGACATTTTCACCTGTTCCAGTTCACCTACCGACCGCCTACCGCTCCACTGGAGATGCCATCTCCTTTGCTATTCACCTGAGCCTAGCACACCTGGAGGAAAAGAACATAGGCTATGCCTGGCCTTCAGTTCAGCTTTCAACACCATCATCCCGCAACATCTGATAGGAAAACTGTAACAGCTGGGCTTCAATACACCCCTCTCTAATTGGTTGATAGACTTCCTCACAGACAGACCTCAGTCATCCGGGTCGGACAGAACACCTCTGATGTCATCCGTCTAAGCACAGGCTCCCCTCAGGGCTGCCTTTTGAGCCTCCTGCTCTTCACCCTGATGACACATGACTGCGTACCCAGGTTCACCACCAATCACATCGTGAAATTCACAGACGACTCCACGATAGTGGACCTCATCAGAGACGACAAGCACGACTAAAGAGAGGAGGTGGAGCAGCTGGTGAACTGTTGCAAAGATAACAGCCTAATCCTGAATGTGGACAAAAAAATGGAGATCATCATTAAACTTGAGCAAGATTGGCCAAAGCATGTTCCACTGCTCATCAACAGCTCAGCTGTAGAGGTTGTCAGCAGCACCAAATTCCTGGGAGTGCACATCACAGACACCCTCACCTGGAATATAAACACCACCTCACTGGTCAAAAGGGAACAAAAGCACATGTACTTCCTGCAGAGGCTGAGGAGAGCCCACCTGCACCCAACCATCCTCACCACCTTCTACAGAAGCCCAACAGAGAGTGTTCTGACCAGCTTTCTCACTGTGTGGTGTGGAGGCTGCAGCGCCTCAGACTGGAAGAAGGTGAGATGAGTAGTAAGAACAGCAGAGAAAATCATAGGGGCTTCTCTTCCCTCCATAAAAGACATTTCACCCCAGCACTGTGTGTCCCAAGCGCGTAATGTTATAAATGACCCCTCAAACCCCCTCCATGGACTGATCTCCCTGCTGCCCTCTGGGTAGAGGCTTCAAAGCATCCGATGGAGGTCCAGCAGATTCCAAAACAGCTTCTTCCCCACTGCCTTCCCCACTGCCACTGCTGAATGTTGAAAAGATCTTCAAATGTTCAAAGATCTTCAGCGTTGAAAGCCTGGCTGAGTTCCATTCAGGGAGATTAGGCTGCAGGTATACAACATCTCAGGAGGACGCGCATCATTTTCAGTCTCTTCCTTTATGCAGACGGGCCTGATAGGTAAAGCTGCATATTCCCACTCCACTACTTTGCTTCCATTTTATTATAACATTATCATTCACACATATACCCAAAACAACATGAAGAGATAAGAATGGTGTGCAATTGACCTTCAGCAAATAGATGACCCATCACCTCATGCATCGTTTTATTCTACTCAACACAATAAAAGAAGATATGAATGTAATAGAGTGGGTTGTATAATAATAATATGTTATTGGTGAATTATTTTTCAGCTCTTTTCAGAGGCAGAGATGCTGAAGACAGTTCAATGTCTATTTTAAACCCTTTTTTAAAGAAAACACACACAGGCATAGCCATTTCCTACACAAAGAATTGAAATCCATCAGACAAAATATAAAACCCTAATTTATGATTTTAATAAAACAGTTGCTGTGTTACGAGCCCTAATCATTCAATAGTTTTCTACATGCAGGCGATCTGATAAAATCCTTACACATATTCAATTTCTGTCATGGTTTTTGCTTGCCTTGACAAATTAAGTTTGCATCTATAAATAAAAAGCAATTCCTTATAAAGGATTGTTCAGTACAGCCGTGACTGATAATAAAGATGAATCCAGTCACAGTGAAGAATAGATAATGTCCTGCCTTTCTCTGCATCCCTCCCTAGAGGACATGAAACTTTTATTAATGCATCCTTCAGACCAAAGCTGAACCAGGTCTCCCTCCAACCAACAACCACAACCTAGGACAATACATCATTGGAAGGAACTGCTTCAGTCTCCTGCCTTTCAGCGGAAACTGGATATTTCCATTAAAAGTATAGAAAAACACATACGGTAACATTTTCTCTGTCAGGCTTTAAATCAAACTAAACTTCTACTGTTTCAGGAGATTTAGGTAACAAAATTGTTTCTCTTTGCTAAATGCCAGAATTATATAATAATAGGAAGAGAGAGAAGTGTCTTATTATTCAGAAGTTTATACCTTTTCTCAATATTTAGTTGTTTAACTGCATTGCTTGAGTCAAAGTTTTGGTTTCCTTCTTCTTAGCTTGCTGGAGTTTTGGCTCCTTATTCTCAGCAGAACCATTATTACTGGTTAACAGCCTCTGGTTGGGACAGTTTTTCAATGTAATGAAATCCTTTAAACGTTCCAGGCTAATCAGACCACAGAACAAGTCTTTTTAGAAGAAAAAATATATATAAATTTATAGTTGTTTATAAAAAAAGATTAACCTGCCCCACTTCAGGTACTGTTTCTGCAGAGTCCATCCCAAAGGAGCAACTTTTTCTCTGAGACAAAGTGGAACTGACCTGATGCCCAGAGAACAACCTGGCTGGCTAATCATAGCCTTCAGGAGGTGGGGGACTGACCCATTCCCCCTCTGCATTCAATTCAAATCATTTTCTCTTCAAAGAGAAAGTGACATAACTCCAAAGTCGTATATGTAGCGACTCCACAGTAAACCCCTCTAAATTACCTTCCACCTACCACATTGTAACAGATTCACCTTCATTTGTGCAACATAATCATTCAGAAGGGCTGCTCAGTGGAACAGTGGGTAGCACTGTTTCCTTCAAGCAAGAAGGTTCCGGGTTCAAATCCCAGTATTTCTGCATGGAGTTAGAATATTCTCCCTGAGCATGCTTGGGTTCTTTTCTGGCTTCCTCCCACAGTCCAAAAATATGACTGTAATTGGTTAATCTAAATTCTCCTTGTGTGTGCGTGAATGGTTGTTTGTCTCTGTTTTGCCCTGCGGTGGACTGGTGCCCTGTCCAGGGTTCACCCCGCCTCTCGCCCGTAGACTGCTGGAGATAGGTACCAGCATCCCTCGCCACCCCGCTTGGGATAAGCGTAAAGGAAAATGATTGATGGATTCACTCAGAGATAATAGTCAACTGGAGCATATATTTATAAACCTTTTTTTTTATCCACCCACACTTTTTTTTGTATCAGCATACATTTATATCATGACAGTAAAATATGTTTGATTCTTTTTTGAAACTGGACTCAAGGATGAACCAGACTTGCTAAGGTCCCCACCTCTGTTCCTGCTACATTTAGAATAGAATTCAATTTTATCGTCTATACACTGTCATAAGTACAAGGCAACGAAATGTAGTTTGCCTCTATCCAGAAGTGCTATACAGAATATAAATATTTCCGACTTCTTTAAGTTTTTCCAAGGTCAAGATCATATTTTTACCAGTATTTGCTTAGCATATATCCAACAGTTCTAGTTACACAAAGAGCAAATAAAATAGCAAAAGGCTAAAAGAAAAGGATAATTACGGAAGTGTATTGCTTCCGTAATCAGGTTATGGCAGTTAAAATCAGACATAATTACGAGATAAAATCTCATAATTATGAGATAGCTGTCTGATTATTTTTTTGTTTGTTTCGGTGAATGCAATACGCTTCCATAGATGATAGAAAAAGAAAAAATAAACACATGTACAGAAAAAGAAATGGCTTGAAATGCTGCTTAATGAACAATGAATAATCAGGTAAGGTGGAATAAAAAAGCAACAACAAAAAAATAACACATTTACATCCTCATGTACTAAAAACAGTTTAAAAGAAGAGTCTTCAAATTTGATTGAAAATGCTTTAATGCTAAGAGGCAGGCTACTCCAGAGTAGAGGACCTGCCACAGCAAAGGCTCCATCTAAGAGAAATAAGCTTAGACCTGAAAATAGACAGCATCGGCTCTGCGGTCGACCTCATGGTGCTTTTCAGAGCATGAATACAAAGTAGCTCAGATAGGAATGAGGGGGGAAGACTATGCAGAGTTTTGAAAATGAAAACTACAATTTTAAATTGGATCCTTTAAGAGACCGAAAGCAGTGAAGGGAAGCCAACACTGGGGTAATATGTATTTTGTTTTCCAACCACTCAGCAAACGAGCTGCAGCTTTTTTTTACTAATTGGAGATGGTGAAAAAAGGGCTGTTCCATGCAGCAGGACTGGGAGATGCAGTGGTCCAGTCCTCAGGTATTAAACAAGTGAACAACATGCAGGGTCACCTTATAGTTTTAGACTTTACATATTGTAACTTCAGGTGGAATTTTTTTTTATTTCCTTATTGTGATATTAAGCAATAGTGAGTCAAATTTATCATAAAATGGAATACATTTTAGACTGATATAATATGAGATGATGAAAAAAAATTATTTTGTAAATTGTAAGTCAGCATTTAGCTGAATGTATTCCCATGAAGGATCGTTACGATGAATCAGTGATTTCATGGAACACGTTTGATCTGCTATTTAGAAATTAAAAACTTCAGAGTGGTGATATTTATAGTAGAGTATTTGTAAATATTATGAAAATAGTCATTTAAACAATTTTTTTCAAGAAACAATTGAATGAAGACAAAAGGTCTGAGATAGTATTTAAGCTTTGTGCTTGAAGTGTAAAGTGTTCAAACAGCACCCTCTTCTGGACGATTTTAGGACTACATATTTTATTTCATTTTAAACCATCATGCAGTTTTGGTTGAGACCAGTGGCTTTTTTGCCATAAGGTGGGTTACCTGTAAGCCGATGCTGCTTGGTGCTCACTCGGTTGTTATTGTGGACCGTGCAGCAGAGGTGGAGCATGGCAAACATGGTCAGGATCATTACCACACTCTGAAGCAACAGTGTCAGCTCAAACTGTTTCCCTATCCTGCAAAAGCAAAACCAATATTGAAAACCTTCTCTATGATATTATAACAGTACTGCACATTTAAATGTGTTCTAATAATTAGTAACTGACAGGATGTTGTTAGTTTTTGATCATTACCAAAAGAATATTCGCAAGATGTTGGCTACGAGTAGAACCAGGCAAACTCTGGTGGAGAAGCCCTCTGTGTTGCTGCTTCTCTGGATCTCCTGATACTGCGGGATGTACGGCAAGGCGCCCCCAAACACCATGAGGAGGGACGCCAAAAGGGACAGCAGCGTCCATGATCCCTCCATATCCTCCTCCTGGAGAACCCCCTCTGCATCCATCACCCTGAAAGGACTTCAGGCGTCTCCAAAGGTTCTGAGAGAATACTGTACCTGAGAAGATGATAGTTGAGAATCAACAAGGGATTTGAAACTGGTGTTAGATGAAATCTTTAACAGAGGCAAACCAGATTAAATTCAGAAAGGAGATTAAATGTTACCAGTTTGTCATTTCTGAACCTCTTAATATAAATAGTTGTTAGTTTAGGAGAATTCTGACCCAAAAGAAGCCCATCACCAATTGTAAGACCACACACTTTCAGAATAGATGACATTTGATGTGATCAGTCGTTTCTGATGGACTAAACCACTGAGGACACAGACTAATGTTTTGCCAATAAAATCAAATAGCTAAATTACTTTTTCCTAATGATTTGTTTCTTTTTATGGTTCTCAATATCATGGGGCACTATATTTAGCCTCACACAATTAGTTTGGGATTAGGGCTGCAGCTAATAATTATTTTGATAATTGACCAATCTGTCAATTATTTTGTTCTATTAATTCATTAAAAATCAGACAGCAAAAGGTCCCTTGAAGATTTTATACAGAATTGCCACTTGAGGAGTTCTAAACAGCTTATTCATGGACAAAAAAGTTTTTCCATCTTAAATGTTGGCATAATTACTCTTGAGTGGGTTGCTCTTTCAGCTAATGTGTTAAAGTTTTTAATCCATTTAAGGATAAATTCATTACTAAAGTAGTAGCCGATTATTTTAATAATCTATTTATCCAGATTAATTGTTTAAGCCCTAATTGAGATGTTATTTACCCACACAAAAAGAAAAGAACTTCTTAAATAAGGCGACTTTTCCTGCACAGAAGAGAGTTTTAGCCAAGGTGTAATAATTATAAACCATGGCTTTTACTTCACTATTTTAAGCATTTTACTTTCAGGTTTTCACATAAAATAATTGAAATTTTTCTTTATACAGTAAAAGTGAACTGGTCTGATTTCTCAACAGTTAAGAACAAAGATGGACAGAGCACCAACACATTTTACTAAAGTAATAGTAGCTGTACTTTTTTATTATTATTACTGAAGTAAAATTTGTAACTAATAATCATAGGAAATATTCAAGTAAGAATAAAAAGGTTTTTGGTAAATTGTCCACTCTAGTATGGAGTAGTTGTTGGTGCATAACTTCAGATTTAATGTTTAGGAGTTATTTGCAAATTCTGTTGTTCCAAAGAATAAAAATAAAAAACACAATAAATACATTACATGTTTACAAAATTAACAATTTGAGCTGGCAAAACACTTTTCTAAGTGAATTTGTTCAACATAAACTTAAAAAAAAGACCTGAGCCACAGTATCTGGTGTTTAATGTATTTTCAGCCAATCTTAAATAGCATAATAGCTTAAGTTATAGTAAGTAGATTAATCCAAAGTTTTACTTAAGTAAGAGATTTTGATGCATTTAGATCACAGATTTCATGAGCACAAATTTTTTCAGGTTTTAGTTTCTCTCTTATAAACTAATTTTTCTTGTACAGTTTAGGATTGTGACATACACACTGTAGTAAAGAAATATAATGATTCTGTCAAGACATGAGTTAATGTTTCTCAGCCAGTTAGAAAAGAGCAATCTCACAAAATATGTTTACATTATGGCTGAAGCAATTAATTGGATAAATCATGACAAATCAGTTATTGAAACAATCATCAACTAATTAAGTAGTCATTTAATCATTAACTGGAGCATAGAGACCATAAAATATGCCTTTAGCTGACAGAGCGACCCAGTTAGAGCGGTAATTATACCAACATAGTAAAAAAAAAAAAATATATATAATAATATATATATATATATATATATATATATATATATATATATATATATATATATATATATATATATATATATATAAACATTCAACTTTTTCATCTGTCAATATGCTCAATCCAGAACTCCTCAAGTCAAAAAGTTTTATTTTCTCTTGGTTTAATTTCGTGAAAAATCTTCTTTAAGGAACCTTTGGCTATCCGATTATTAATCGATTTATGGGAAACAATTATAGAGAGATCAATCGATTTGCAGTAGTTGCAGCCCTAGTTTTTATAAATAAATATAAAGCATTATGTTTACATTTCTGCTTTTGGTGATGGCATAATACAAGCATAGAGCAGAGAACAGATATGAGCTGGTGAAATGTGATTACGCCATTTATAACTGAGCAAAAACAGAATGAACATGACAGTCTGGAAATAGATGTTAAAGGTGTAGAACACATGAGATGTCATGTACAGCAGGAAAAGGTCAGATGAAGGCAGGAGTAACAGACGGGTAATGGGGGGCACAGCTGAGGTAATATGGGTGGGAGGGGTCAGCATTAGCTGCAGATAGAAAGCCCTGAAAAATCTCCTCATATTAAAATACTTCTGCAATACTTTTTACTCCCAGTCTGAATACTCTGAACAGTGTGTTTCAATAACTTCAATTGTCTCATGCACCCCTGGCAACCCCCCCAACCACAAACACACACATATAAAGCTAAAGCTGCAACAGTAATTTGTTTTCCCATGATTTTCCAGAGAGAATGCTGATTCTAAACATTACATTGGTTCATTATCCAACAACTAAGCTGCTGTTTACAGATAAGCATGAGCTACATATTCTATGAAAACTCTGCAAAGTCCAGGAAGAAATCTAAGAAGTGCAACACCCGCATACATGTGTGCTTCTCTGCCTGCCTATATTGGATTTCAACATCACCCAGCATAGGCTTAAAATAAATCATTAGCAGATTTAAAAGTTGTTTTTTTATGACATGTAACAAAAATCATCTGTTTTCAAGTCCTTATATTTTCCACAACAGAGTATTTTCAATAGAACAGTAACTGCAGCTATAGTTTGAAGGAATCTAATAAAAACTGTTCTTTAACCTAAGCTGCAAGGAGGCATAGAGCTTGTTTTATAGCAAGAAAAAAAATCTCTAAAGTTATCAAGAATTTTAATGTCTGGCTGTAAAGAAGGACATTAAAAAAGATAACAATGCAGAACTGTTTCAAACCTGCTGCATGGATTTAAACACTGAAGTTAAATATTATTCAGGAATTTAACAGCTCGGCAGCTGTTTCTGCTTGGAGCTGAGAATAAACTCATAACAGCAGCAGCAGAGACGTGCTGGCCCCTTCTGACAGAGGAACAGGCTTGGTTAGGTAACCAAAGCATAGTTTAAAGGGGAAGGGCCAACATGCCTAAACTTCTTCCAGCACAGAACATCCAGACATTAATTAACACAAGGATAAATTCATTTCCTATCATTGGGGTCAGTCTGATCAGTAATTATTCTAAATATTGATTCGTGCAAACAGGTGGTGGTAAAATAAACCCCAGGGATCTATTCTCAGGGATGAGTTTGTGGGAACTTCATCTCAGGTGAGACATTCTTCCAGGAAGGAGCTTTACTCACCTTTCCTCTTCATCTATTTACCTTGTTTCAGTAATCCCGGAATCTCTGCAGGTCTCAAAAGCCTTAAAAACGAACCAAGATCCTTTCTGCTCCAACTTTCAAATCTCAACTCTCTCAATCTGAACAGAGAGCGCGCATCGGCGCACACGTGCGCGCGCACGAACCCAAACAAACTTTTTTTTTCCGGTTTGAAAACCACAGTTTTTATTGTTTCATTTAATTCCCTTTAAGAATAGTTTTAATGAAACTAAATCACTTAATATGAGGATAAACGTTTGACAGATCAATAAACTTAGATGACCGTAGGTGTTCCTTTTCAAAACTCCATCTTCCACACATATACCTGGATGATTAGAAGCTACACAAGCCAGTCAGTTGCCGCCATATTGGGAGTGGCAATTTTGTAGGTTAGATTAGCATAGATCAGCGTTTTGGATAAAAATGTGGCTCTGAAATAATCTTCTTCACATTATATTGAACATACTATCCAAAACTAAGTAGCCCAGAACGGAAGGAGAGTAGTTAAAGAAAAAAAAAGTAATCAAAACCTAGTCTAAATTGAAAAAGAAGTACACCCAATATTGATTATCCCACCCTTGTCAGTAACAGTTACCATCAAGCCTTTAGAATAAGTGTCAGTGTGTCTTTAACATCACTTTGGGGGAGATAATGTGCACTTTTAATTTCCAGCATGAGCATCTCCATTTCTGTCAAACAGCAGCATCCCTACAGGTGATATTCAGGGTTTGAATCTTTCTTGTAATACATTTCTTTTCATACCTAATGCTTTTCTTTTATTGAACCCAAATCTATATATAGGGGGGTGCCCACTTCTACCTGGTAATTTGTTGTTTCTGTATGCATTTATAACGCCTTCATGTGTTTGTTTTTTTTTTTGTCATTACACTGTCTCTGCATTTGATCCATCCCTTTGGGGAGCAGTGGGCTGCTAATGTGCGGCACCCGGGGAGCAGTGTGGGGTTAAGGGGTTTTGCTCAGGGACCCAGAGAGCAGGCTGTGGGAGTGGGGCTCAGAAACTCAGGATTCCAAGTTCTACGCCCTAATCACTAGGCCGCTACTCCGCCACCACTGGTATGGTGAAGATTATCCTTTTTACTTTAAACTGGATGTTACCAGTGCATTGTATTCAAGTGCTTTAGTTGTGTTAGAAAAGGTGAACATGGTGGATCCACAGATTATCTTCACAAGCTACTAGGGTAAGATAGGGTCATGTCCGGTTCCAGTAAATCATGCGCTCATTGGCATACACTACAAATCAAGTCAGAAAATTATTGTGTCAGAGCACAGATTGCAGAGTACCCTACTGGCTGCTATCATTGACAGACTACTAGCAAGTATCTGATAAAATCAAACAACAGTTTAAATGGCCATATTGTAAAAAAGAAATGTACATCAGCATTGCGTAGGCTAGAGGTCTTCAACAGGGGGTCCGTACCCTAGGGAGTCCACGGAGGTACTGCATGGGGGTCGCAAAGGTTTTGGTTGATTAGTCTCTTTTATATATATATATATATATATATATATATATATATATATATTCCCCCCTGCAATTTTTCCACTAATTGAAATGTTTTTAAATACACATTTACATGAATTTACACACTGTAGTAAACAGATAAATGGAGGCCACACAGGAGCTCTTTCAAGCTGGGCACCGTTTCATTCATAACACTTATCATATCAACGAGGAATCATAATCAGAAATACTTTAATAATCTCAGGGCGAAATTACTTTCGTTACATTACTCCATCTGCAATAGAGTGACTATAGGCCCGTTTGATATAACACAATTTTAAGCAATATATATAATTAGGGGGTCCCCGCTCCATCTCGCCATCAGTTTGGGGGTCCTTGGCCTGGAAAACGTTGAAGACCCTGGTGTAGGCTACAAACACAACAAGAGAGAACATTTAATAACGCAGTACTTATCATACAGAATACTTTCTCTGCTCTCTGACATGTTGAAAGGTCAAAGTTGACCTCATTTCGGGTAACTTGGTTATTATTATTTTTTATCTTTTCAGTTGAAATTACAACATAAGTGGGTGTTCATGTGCAATTTTCATGTCGGTTTTTGGTATTTACAATTATGATACCACATAAATGCAGCATTAATTCACCACCTCTGGGAAAAGCAGTTTTCCTCTAAACCAGTGATACCATCATTTGGAATATCCTATTTTACAGTTAGCATATTAACCAAAAACCTAAAACCAAAAATGAATTATTCACAAAAATAAATTCAAGAGGACTGATACAAAATTAGTTTTTATGTTTTATGGAGGAGAGTTGTCTCTTCAGTCATCTATGAATCTTCTAAATTAAAAATAAAGAACTGCTGAACCCATTTAATGAATGTATTAAGCAGAACTATATACTAGTTTAACAGCGCTGATGTATAAATATGTGCATAACTAGTAAGGGCCTCGTGAAAATCTAATCTATCTTTAGTGATTTATTTGGAAAATATAGATGTTCTGTGCATTGATCTTCCTGTTGGTTAATTGTGATCAATGTAGATTGACCATGAATTGGTTTCTGCCCCTACAGTATAGATTTTTTAGCCACCCCTCACTGCACATTGGTCCCTGCCTAGACCCCTATGACACAATTATGGAACTGCCACTGCAGGACTGGCATATCTTTATAGTGTAAATGTCTAATGTCATTACATTTACACTTAAACGTTACTGTTATAATTTCTTTCCAGAACTTTTTTTTTTTTTTTATTCAGCATTTTTGAAACATTCCATGGAGATTTTGGTTCATATTGACTTGAAAACTTCACATGATTACTATAGAGCTGTAGGCTGAACTTTAATAATGAGAACCTCCGGTTCCACGACATCCCTTAAGTCTCCTGTTGCACCAAGGTCTGGGGAGCTTTAGTGTCAGGATCATTCTTAAGAAACCAGTCTGTGATTATCTGAGCTTAGTGACACACTGCTAGAGGAAGCCATCGAGTGAGTCCATGACATCCTGCTACAAAGCACAGAACATGTGCAAGTTGTGCATCGGTTGCCTTTGAGACAGTCCAGCTTATGATAGGAAGTAGGGAGATGTTGGTCAGCAAAGCCTAATTAGACACATCTGTAGACATTTAGAATGGGAGAAAGGGCCAGCAGTGGTTAATAGTTATTGAACTAAGATTGTTTCTAATATCCCAGATGATATAAGTGATGGCTTATAAAACCTACTTTGGTATATTGAAGAAGCAGAAAAAAGGGCAGCGATGGTAGACAGCTGTCCCAAACAAAACTAAGCCCTAACCGGCATATTTTTAGTCGAAATCCTTAAACCTTGCATGCGGGATTAGTAACAGCCCCGTATTAGTGCTAAGAGTATATTAACAATGCACATTAAATCAGTGATAAGTTAAAACGCACAAATTGGGTTTTCTAACGTGAGCCTGACACTAACAATATGGGGCACGCAAAGCCGTGCAAATGATTAACATTAGGGCAACTTCTACTCCTCTATTTCTATGCTGCCTGTACATCACGTCTATCTTCTCGCGAGACTATATTTGTTGTGGAACAGCTGAGTGGGCGGTTGGGTATAGTTGAGACCGATTCAATACTAACTAGCGGCTTTATATCAGATTTTTTTAGCCTCCTGAAGACTTTATTTGTCGGTTATTACACACCATGGCTGAGACGGACCCCAAGTCTGTACAGGACCTTACCAATGTGGTGAGTCGTGACGTAAGGAAAGCTAGTGCTAGCTACATAGCGTTTGCTGGCATTGCTAACACGAATGCTAACGACGGTAAAAGCTATGTACAAAACTTTAAGGCTATAGTAAAACATCTGGAGCATTCATGTCGAATTATGCGCGATTACTGAAATACTAACAGGCGGACTGGGTCTGTTTTAATCAAAGCACTCAGATCTTCTGACCCTGGTTTAATTTACCGCTGCATGTAACTCCTGTTCGACCCAATTAGCGTAGCTTTGCCTATTTCTACATTTCATTTCTGCGTTGTAATGACACAATTCCATGAACGCACGAGTTAATGCTGGATTTACTGGTGAATTTCAGCTGTAACTGTTATTTTTATCGGTCCAAATGTCTGCTGTTTCCATGTAGATGATCCAGAGTGGCATTTAAGCGCTTACATCGTTCAGATATTAGTCAACATGAGACTGCGACAATTAAAACATTTTCTTTTTCAATTTCTTTTCCTCCGTCATGATGACCCCTGTACTTTCCTTTAGTTTCAAATATCTAGGCTGCTCCCGGTGTAGTAAAAGGAACAATTCATGCAGATGATCTTATGTATCACAAAGCTTATATCCATGGTAACCATGACAGCCTATTATGTTGCATTTTAGCAAACACTGGGAAATGCTCCTGTAATACTGACTCTTGCAAACTAGAATCCAGTCTAAAACTTTTGGTCTGATACGTTTCATTATAAATACTGCAACCAATAGACAATTTTTGAACTTTAAAGCTACCTTTAAGATGAGTCATTGATACCTTTTTTTAATAATTTCTCTTTCTTTCCCAGATTTGAAACATTAGCCAGATTGATCTACCATTAAACCAGTAGAAACTTTTACTACTAGTTAAATTGTTTAACTTTTTAATCTTTCAAAAATAACTGATAGACTGATCATAAACGACAAGAATATGCTTTCCTGTAAACCACCTTTAAAAGTGAATTAGACATTTCCATGGTTACCCTTCCCATTTCCACTGTTGGCATGGAAACAAGCCAATGACCAGCTTTTAGTTCTTTTTAAAAAAGAGAACTGCTTGCTGACCCCAGTGCTTTGGTGCCAGCGTATATTTTTAAACTTATTCACACTTCTCCTTTTCCAACAGGTCCAGACTTTGCTGCAGCAGATGCAAGACAAGTTCCAGACCATGTCAGACCAGATTATTGGGAGGAATATCCTGACATATTACCATTTGTTTATTTTAATAGAATAAAATCATTCTTAAAACTACCTAAAGTCATTTGATTTACGGATTTTGGAGGTGCTTCTGCCTGTACGGTTTACCTTAACTAGTCCTTCACTTGATGAGATGAGCACTCGTATAGATGACCTGGAGAAAAATATCGCTGACCTGATGACCCAGGCTGGTGTTGAGGAGATTGAGGCAGCGCCAGAAAAGCCGAAGGAGAGTCAAGGGTCATAATGAAGGTAAGAGGAAAGCAAAACATGTTTGTAGCCTGAATTAAGATAATTTTAAATGTAATTTCTTTTCCTTATGATTTACAGGCTCCTAAAGAACATCTAGAGTTGGTCCTGAATCCAGGAGCAGAATTTTTCCACTGAAAACGATGTGGTGTAATGTTGTATGAAATGCTTTTTTTGTTTTTTAATATAGTTATTGTGAAACGGTTTGCGATCTTGTGATGACTTGAAAGCTGAACGTCGTTTGTGAGCTAGACTAGTTCAATGTGCCCTTCACAAGCTCAAACAGAAATGCATTATTTGGATTTAGGGCAAAGAGGTCAAGTTTCTGGAGCTCTGGCTTCGTCAGTCCAACCCCGGAGGTGAAGGCACAGTCTGACACTTTTCTCCACGCCTGTTCTGAGAGCATCCACTGGACCCAGGTCCTATTGTGCACCAGAAACAGAACTGTTAAACCACGCTGTGGGAAGCATTCCACTTCTAATATTCTTCTGGTAACACACTGACGTTTGTATTCTTTTCCCAATATTTAATCGAAGAAAACAAATATAACCAACTTTAAGGTGCTTTGTGTTTTTCTAAAATGTTTTTACCAGCATGACTTGTAGAGTTTATCCTTGTCTTTATATTCCACAACCAAGAAGTCAAATGAGTGTGTTCTAATTCCTTTTAACCTGGTTTTTGCACGAGTATCAGAATATGTAAAGTTTAGTCAAACTCCCAAATAAACTATTCACAAATGCAGAAATAGTCTTATAGGATGTTTAACAGCTTAAACGGGTTTTTAATGGTGGCTTATCTAGTTGCTTCCATCTGAAGGAAATGAGGCTGACTGGTCACTACCTGCTCAATGTCGACACCATCTCTGTTGGACCAAAATCTGTGTTTTTCTACTTAGTTTTATCTGATTGAAATAACATTCAACAGTTTGTTTAAACAGGATTATTTGGACTGATTTTTATCAAGTCTTCAATGTAGAGCAGGAACCTTTATTGAAATCAATGCAAACCAAAATGTACAACAAAAAACATAGAAATTAAGTACCAGAGTCAAACAAATGTCCAACAATAAATCAACACTAATGCAAAGCTTGACCAACGTACTACAGATGTAAGTTCCGTGTCGAATATCAAGTCATGGTTCCTGGTACCCGCTTCTGAGGGCAGAATCAGAGGTGTGGAGTTAGAATTCAAAGTCTGCTTCTGTCATGTCGATGGCCCATGCAAACTTTTCCCGTTGGGTTTTATTGTAGATTTTTTCTATCGGCACATCCATGTTTTTACACCTGAACCAACAGAGACGTTCAAAGGTTAGTGTAATCCTCCACTGCAGAGCAAAGCAGAAAAAATCTACTAGACAGGGAAGCAGAGATCATTCGTCAAAAAAAGTACAAGTAAGCCAATTTCCTGGGATAAAACTTTAAAATTACTGTAAGTTATTTAGGCAGTTCTGTTTGTGCAGACTGCCGTTTCACGTTTGAATATCTGCAGACCTTCATCTGGTTTTATGAAGAGAAGGTTGCTGTCCAAACTCACCAAATGGGTTTTTACTCCAAATCAACAGTAAATGAGGTCTTGGAGTTCATGTTGAGATCTGTGGTTCCCTCAGTGCTGAAACTGTGGCAACACAGCTCATACAGGTTGACAACAACCCTCACTCAGATTAGGGTCCAAGTTAAGACTGACTTCCTGTTTCCAAATTCAGATTTAAATTTATAGATCAGGCAGTCATTGCAAATACTGCAGACATTTAAATACCTAAATGATCATGGTTGGGTTTTATTCAGAGTTCCATTAAACTCCGATGGTCTGTTTCAGCAGCCTGCTGAGAGCCCAACTCCGCAACCAGACCAGACCTATTCAATCTGATCTGATTTCTGAAACTAATGACCGAATCCTGAATGCAGTTTGAAGGGTAACAAAGTATTGTAAAGATGTCTCAAAGTGCTGATGCTTTAGCATGCACACAGAAACCACAGGTCAACACGTATCAGGCCCCCAGCAGATAAATACTTATAAAATTGTAGCTGATTTGCAGCCGGTGAAAAGTCTCATTTATTAGGTTTTTTGCTTTTCTAGTAATAGTAACACAGCCAGCAGGTTACAGACCAGTGAGCTCATTCAATCAAAGAGATCGAGGCCTGTCTGTTCCCTGTTGCTGACTGATAAAACAAAAAGGTTTCCTTTTTAAAATAATAGCATCATTGTTTAAAGATTTTACATTTTTGATCTACATATAACCTTTACTGTTCTACATCAGGGGAACTCTGGTTTAAAATGGGTCAGGTATAGAAGTTTCATGAGATATATATTTGTTGTGCTTTACAAAAAAAAAAAAATCAATGAACGGTGAGGTTTGATACAACAAAATCAAGGGAGGGTTAGCTACAGCTACAAAAGCTGTTTAGTTTTTTAGAAAATCTAATTTCATTTTATTCCAAGTAATGAATTTCACATCTTCCATCTCTGGCTTAGAAAATGAACTATTTAGAGTTGAGATCAAACCAGAGTCTTCAAAACCCAGAGAACTTAGCTAAACATGAGCAATGATCTAGTTTACCCTGAAGCCGATCACTAATTACTTACCAAGCCACACTAATGCGAGGGTCCAGGTAGTTGAGCTTGGACGTACCGAGGGCGATCTGCTTGTTCTCCTCTCTGTCAGTCGCCTGAACCTCCATCTTAAGCAGCTGCTCTTCACAGCGCTTGACTGCCGCCTTCTTCCTCTCCACCAGACTGCAGACACCGACCAAGACAAACAGCGATGACAAATCACAGACAAATGTGAAACTATGTTTAGGTGGAAGAGATCAGGAAGTTATTAAAACATTTGCTGAGAAGATGCAGCAGAAACTATATTAGCTTATTAACTTAGATGCTGAGAAGTTTTAGGAGACATTTTTAACTGCAGGTTCTTCACCCCCCTCCATTCACCCTGAGGCAGAAAACTGTAAAATGGTTTGAAATGGTTTCTTCTTCTACAATTAGAGCCTCCAGGTCCTTGTATTTTTCATTTTAATGTTTCCACATCACTGTATAAGAAAGAAAAACCAAAGTCTTACGTCTGGAGCTTTGGATCCGAGTTGCCTTTGCTCTTCGCCTCCTTTTTGGCCTGTTTCAATTCTGTCTTGGCTAGAGCCAACTGCTCCTTTCTAGCATCAATCTGGATGGGGAACAGGAAGTAATGTCAGAAAATCTGCTAAATACCATCAATTTGATTAGTCTTTGAAATAAGTAAAATAACTCTTCATTCTTAAGTTTGAATCCTTCATATGCAGAGTTAAAGAACTCTCAGCAGATTCTGGTCCAAATCAGCCACAGAAAAATGATTACACCTGTTTCCTGGGGGGAGGGCTTTAAAACAGCTGATATTACTTAAAGATCTGTAAAATGCTTATACATTAAACTCTTCTGAGAATCAGAGGAGTAATGCTGCGTTCACACCGGGGGCAGCTGGCGCGACAGAAGCAGCGAGTTTACATGCAAAGTCAATGGTTGACGCGCGTCAAGGCGCAGCAAAAGGTCCCGCGGCGCGTTTTGAGCAGCAAGTGCAGCGCGTCTGAGCAGCTGAAGCAGCGCGTCGGGCGCGTTTTGGCATCTGACGCGCCGCAAACGCGCTGCTGCTCGAGATGGAAAAATTGAATTTTTGCTGCTCGACGCGCCGCGTTAACCAATCAGAGAAGCTGATCTGGGAGCTGGCAGGGAGAGAGACACAGCGCTGATGACACAGACCGCTCTGATTACTCCTCTTAAACAGTTTATTAACGCATAATTAACTTAAAATATATACATCTGCCGGCAGAATATGTTGGCTTTTATTATTCTGGTGCCTGCAGATCGGATTATTTAGATGAAAAACACCTACCAGCTGCCGCGGTGAACCGCGAGGAGGCGACCCGGCCAGAGGCTACTGTTGAAGGGCTTCCTTCTGTCGGCGCACCGCCGGTATACATGTGGGGGTCTGAGCGGCTCCGACAGAAATAACATTGGGAGGCAGGATTGTAATCTGGATGAACTGACTGCACTGATTACGTTTTCAGGTGTATTTTCTCACTTAAAAACATATTAAAACTACTTTATTCCCACTGATCACAGCAAATATAGCTGCAAGGCAGAGAAAGGATAGTGAAGCTCCGCCCAACGCGCGTCAGAGCCACTTTTGCACCACGAAGCAAGAGCAGCAAAGCTGCTTCGGCCGCGCGTCAGAACTCACTGGTACAAGCAGCAAAAATGAAGCAGCAGACGCGATTTTGCTGCTTTTGCAGCGTCCGGTCTGAACGTAGCATAATATCTAGTTTCATCTGCACCATTTCTGAGATACTTTTTTTTTTTTTTTCCCCATCAGAGGTATACGGAATCAACCAGCTTCAGGCTCCAGTAAACATGATCCAGCTCGGGGTGACTGGACTTCCTTCCACAGCTCTTTATTTCTTGGTTTTGTCTCAGCAACGGCAGATTTAGTATTTCCAAACAAGATTAAAGTCCAGGGATCGGTCTGACCACACCATTAAGTTGAAGAACAACTAACACCCATAAAAGCTCTTTTTGTTATTTAATACATAGATGTCTACATGTCTCAGGCATTACTTTAGCATTATCATACCTTACCCTCACCCCAGCACGTCTCTGGGTCTGCTGGGCACAGCATACTTTAGACGCATTTTTTAAAGTATTAAATTTGAGCCGAGGTTAGATGAGTTTTTAGTCTTTTTTTTCTCTGCCTTTTTTCTAAAAACTCTTGGGAAAAAAAAGAGTTTTTTGTTCTGGAACCAAGGTGTTTCATTGGATGTTGTCTTTACAAACATACCAGAGTACTTCCTGTCCTGCAGAGGACTTCACTAGTGTTTGTGTACTCAAACTGATTCCTAATCTGTGGCAAGTGATTTTTTGAAAAATGTTGCCATACCATAATGCCTGAGCAACAGTGCTCTCCAGTCTACTGTGGCTTAAAATCTATTTGTAGCTTGTTTAATCACTCCAAAGTAAGAGTCGACGTTACTTTTAAGCCTAAGATGTTCCCTTCAACTAATATTGCTAATATGTGCTAATATTTCAATAATGTAGCTCTAGTAGGGAAACTTATTTAAATCAAGACTCCCTTGTGGTGAACGCACATGTTCTTAGCTTACAATCATGCATAACTAAAGTCATAATTAACCATTTCAGGAATAACTCCAACATCCCACTTCCCACTCTAAATCTCAAATAACATTAAAAATGTTTCCTTCTTTCTTTCGAGTAGCCTTTCTAAAAATCATTAGTTAAATTTTTGTATTTCCTTTATGCCACTGCCTCATATCTTTACTTTCTTTTTTATGTACATAACTGAAATGTGCTACAAACATATTGCCTTGCTTTCACCCTGGAGCTGTCTTTACCCTCTTTTATCCTCTTCGAACAATTTGAAAGGTACTGTAGTTTTCCAATTTCTTCCATATTAAGCTAACCAGACTCATTCTTTATTTATTTTCCTAACTACAGTCAAAGAACGACGTCTGAAATGACCCATTTTACTCTGAATGCTCCAGAGGAAGCAGGTTGAGCAGCCTTAATGATCAACAGTTATTTTGAGCAGCTTGTTCATTCCACAGTTCAGTCTCACAGAATCTCACAGAAATCTTCTGACTGTTGGTCTGTTTGGTTTTCTTAAACTCTTTAAAAGCTAATAAATAAATGTGTTTTCTGGATCTGATTAATGAGGCTTTAAATATTGTGCATAAAACTTATTATATCCACTGAACTAAAACAGAGTTGAACTCACCTTGGCCTGAAGGTTAGCCATTGATTGTTCAAAGGTCTTCGGTGGCGCCCTCTGGTGGTTACAGAGAATAGCAACTGCTCTGTTTGCCCTGTTGTAGGACAGCAGCTTCTCTGCCACATTGTCAGACTCTGGAGGCAGGAAGGGTGATGGTATCAAAGCTACTAAATTAAAGTGGCTTTATGATCAAATTACATCTCATACTGTTGACATTGTTACATAAATCCAGTAGACATAAACACATCCCGCAGTATCTGCATACAGTACATGTAGTTTTGAGAGTGTTACGTTTGAGGTTATTTCTTCGTATTTCCATTAAGTTCATCCAATTCTCCTGGGCTCCTGTGCACCCAGGCGTCAGCCTGAATATCAGCTCCATGGCCATCCAGAGTGAGATGAGTGTGACACTTCTATCTAAAAACTGATATCAGTAAAAGAGGCAGTCAATGGCACCTTGATAAGAGGCGGGTTGAGGTGCAGTTCTGGCAGCAGTGATAATATGATCCTGCCAGAGCAGAAAACGCTGACTGACTGTAAGATATCTAGGAAAAAAAGCTAAAAATAAACATCTGAAGTGCAGAAGTTGAGTGAAAGCTGGAGCTGGAGGGATAATGACCTGGAGAATATGAGCCAATGCTTTCAGAGCCTGTTTATAGTATAGAGCTCTTCATGAAGGATTATCCTGTTTAACAAAAATGAATGAACTACTTACTGTTGGTGAGCTCTTTGAGCTGCTGCTGCAGCGTGATGGAGGCGTTATACGTCCTAAAGACCTTTGCAGTCAGGCCTGGCATTAAAGAGCTCAGATGTTTGTTCAGAAGGTTCGTCTGTAATTATGACAAATGGACAGGAGATGAACCAAACATTTATCTGAGAGCCACTGGACAAAAATTATGTTCACCACTAGGTGGCAATGTGGTCATGTGCTGCAGAAGTGTTGGCTTTGAGTTAATAGCAAATAAAGCTTACAACTCTCATTGTTATTGGAGGACAAACATAAAGAACAATCTTAATAAAATGTGTAATATGTAGGAGTTTCAGAAGGTAAAGATGGTTCTGATCAGGGATTTCAGAAGGACACTTTAAAGTAAAGAGGGAAACCGAGAGATGGGGAAAAAGCAAAGACCCAGAGCCCATTTAAAATCATGCAGCAGAACCTTACCAGGAAATGGGTTTATAGACCAAATCAGAGAAAACACTATCAGATGACTAATCAGTTGAATCAAACCATTCAATCTCTTATGAGATTCAAAGTTTCAGGCAGTAAATATAATATTGTTAGTTTGAGACAGGCTGTAGGTTTTTAGCTCCAAGGCCACAGACTTGCATCATCAATCAAAAGCAGATATTTCCATGCACCCTGGAAAACAGTCTTAACAACCTTTCCAATTGTCCACTGATGTCAAAGAAGCAGCCGTCTTGAGGCGTTTCTTTAAAATACATCCCCAGGTGAGCCTCTAACAGAAATGCTCAGAGTTAACCAATCAGAGCTCACAAAGCCATGGTTAATCTGTAAGTTCTAAATATGATATGTAACAAAAATAAGAACGTTTCCCACTCCTATAAAAAAAAAATTATAAAAATTGATTTTCATTTATGTAATCAAAATAACAATGAACAATTGGTTATAATGCAACAAAAAACTAATATTTCATACAGTCCATATAAATATGTCCTGGCCAAGAAATGTTTTTATCTCTACATGTAATCTGTATAATCCTGAGGCATTCAGGTTCTGGGTCCGTACAGCTAGACCTTAACCAGGATGTCCGCCTCACTAATGAGCAACCAAACTCTGCCCTGCCAGTACTAATGAGAGTCAGCCAGTCCAAAGGCCATGCGCCTCCACTGCCCTGATACAGTGTCCTCAAGGTGCAAAGCACAGCAGCAAAAGTGTGGCACAGCAGAAAGAGTGTGTGTGTTTCATGTGTTTCATCTTGTAGGGCGTTAGTAAGCAGAGGCCTTCCTCCTATTCCCATTTCCCATCAATAGTACAGCATAAAATACACCGGACCTTTTAAGCAACGTACCACAAGGGCTGTTGTGGCCACGTAAACAGTTGATTGGATAGAAATCAACTGCTCATATTCTAAAGCTACTCCAATAAACTTCAATCCTGTTTGCGTCGATTCACCATCATAAGAAAAACAGAATATCCTCATAAGTGTAAAGCACGCAGAGGGGGGAAAAACAACAAGAGATCCTAACTGAATGATTTGGATTAAACTGCCGAAGGAAGTAGTGGCTGATGAAAATGTAGAGGATAAAGTAAAACTGACAGAATGTCCTGTGATGGTCAGTAATGCTGGCTTTAAGAGGGATGCATCTATGAGCCGTTTGCACGTCCACATCATGGCTAATAATTAGTGCAGCCTCTTTCTGATAAGCAACGATTTCACAGAGACTTTGCGCAGTAGAATCAAATCATTTAAATCTCCAAAGCTCCATCAGGTTTCTAACCATGTGGGATTTTTTTAAAAACAAAATATATTTTAAAATGTTACAATGAGGCAAATATCAGAGCTTGATTTTTCCTTTTTATGATGCGGAAATAAGATGTACTTTTAAGCCTTTAACTAAAGTTGTATTATAATAACCATAGCGTTATGTAAGGTTTATACAAATTAACCAATTAAATGTTGACTGATGAATAAATCTGCATCATTGATGATAAACTTAAAAATGTTACTATATGAACATAATTAAATTAAAGTAGTCCTTTAGTGAGGAAAATAATTTTCTGCTGCTCCGATTTGTCCGTCATACAATTTACCGCAAGGTAGCTATCAAAGAAAAGTTAAAAAAAAAAAACAACAACAACAACAAAAACCCTGATCTTCCATTCGAATATGTAACATACTGACTGGCCAAATTTCCATCCAAATGTGCAAATCTCAAGCACAGTTTAGAGGATCTAAAAAAGGGAAGATGGCTTCCTCTGCTGCCAGTATGCAAATTTATATCAGGATGGTTGTGTGATGTTCACAGTCAGACAGATGGAGTGTAGAGATGGTGATGAAACTCAAAAGGAAAGCCTTGTGAGCCGTTATACTCCACTGCTCCAGGCAAATCATTTATTTAGATATTTCAATCCAATTACAATCTTCATTGAAATATATGTGTGTAAAATTACTAAAACATAAAACAGGATCAAGTTCGTCAAAACCCTGCCAACCAACAGATCATCTTTGATTGATGCACTTTCAAATGCTCTCCACACCCTCATGGTGTTTTCAGACTTAGTGTTAAAGCAAACCGAGGGATTTACTCTATCCTTGTGTAAAGGAGTGAATTAATGCTCAGCGATGTAAAGGAAGCATTTTCAGCGAAGCGAATCGCACCAATTGCAAACAGGGCAAAGCAAAATTTCAATGGGTGCAGAGGACCTGCAGATACAGCAAAGAAAATTTCACTTCATTAACAAAAAAAATAAAATAAAATTTGAACATTTCTCTTTGTGACATTGCTTCAACTATAGCGGGAATAAAACTGAATGTGATGTGGGGTGAAGTGGCAGCTAGATGTGATGATCACTAATGTCTCTGTGCTCGCTCAGCCTCTTGCCTCAGCTCACAATTTTTAAAAAAGGTACGTACATGAACCACACCAACTGGCCAATCAAAGAGGCTTTTTTGTTTATCCGATCAAGTTAATTTTTGCAAATACTGAAAGTACCACATGGGGGCAGGGATTACGAAATCAAACCAAAAAAATAGAGACATAAAATTAACATTTAAAGCAGTCTTAAAGAACTTTCAGTTTTGGTTGATTTTGGTTCCCCTAGTGTACAAAAAACTGTATTGTTTGGCCTTAAGGAAGAGAGCATTTCCCATCAACTGTGCACTCAAGTGGGTGGCACAAAGATCAGAGTGGTAAAATCCTGATCTCCCAGTCACCTGCAGTTGGGATTGAACTACATTTCCATTTCCAGTGGCCGTGTGAAAGCTTAATAGCGAGGAGGTGATTATTCTAATTGTGGTGAAAAAATTGTCATATGTTCGAACAGAAAATGTTAAAAAAAATAATAAAATAAAATAAAAACGTTAAAAATAAACGTTCAACTTTATTGTTTATTTTATTACAGCTGAAATTGTAATTCTACGGAAATGCCTATATTGCATTTTATTATTTTACTGCAGATTTTTTAATATGCACCCACACGAGAATGGACATTCTTTGTCTTAAGTCTTTAGACCCATTTACACGACCCTCTGAAATCCCATCTGTGCCAAGCTTGGATCATTTAACCGTGGCGAGCTTGGATCATTTAACCGTGGCGAGTTTGGTTCCTTACGACCATTTACACATCATGCTAGCACGATTCCTCGCCTCCTGGTGGCGATCTACAGTACTGCTGCTCTTTAGAGGTGAACAAGCAAATCAACATGGCGGTGCCCGTAGCATTCAGGAAGTTTGCAGAGAGTCAGGCGAAGAAGGCAGCCTTTGATGAATTAACTTGACAGAATCGGCTTTTGGGAAGTGGACACGACACGATACTCTAATCAGGGCTTACAGATGCAGGAAACAACAGGGGTTGAGGTTCATCACACTGCTAAGCATAATCATCACTGGAAATTGTGTGGCAAGGTAGGAAAGCTATTTTTTTTAAGTGTGGTTCATTTACATACTGCTTTTCAAGTTGTGAGGACAGAGATGGAGCAGACTTCACACACACCACACGCTTTTAAGAGTCGAACATGTGGAAAACACGTTCTGAGTGTTGGTGTGCGAGTTTAAACGCTGCACACAGTTCTCCCTGTGCGCTGTCAGTGCAACTTAAGTTACGTCATTAAGTGCAAACCAAAACAGCAAACCTCACCAAAGCAGGAAAACGCTTCCTTGAAGGTGAGATTCTAAAAACTGAAGAGCATATTCAACAACATATTTCCGTCAACAAAAGTTGCCATTAAAAAGTGTGTCAAACAGCAACCATGAACAATTACCAGACAAAGCTCAAAGTTTTAACTTAAGCTCTGTGCTGCCAGATTAAACCACTGACAGGGGTTGGGGTAAGAGTCTTTGTTCATGTTTCATTTATATATTCCAGCAGCTGGGTGAGACACTGAGTAACTTGGTTGGCCATGAAACACACTATTAGCCTGGGTGCCATTCCGAACTTAGTCCCGCCCACAACGTTTGAGGTCGGGAAGTTCGGTCTGGCATTGCTCAATAGTAGCGCGAGTATGCTCGCACAATATCTGGCGGGCCAATCAAATTGTCAGGGCGGGCTTTATACGATGATGGACAGATGATCAACAGTAACGTAATCAACCACGTCACCAAAGCGCGCATGGGTGACAACAACAATGGCTGCCGCTGGAGAGTTGGGGTGTGTAGATTCTGCTATTAGGTCTGTTCTAGAAGATATCGACAGCAAATTAATTTTAAAAGATGAACAGAGAAACGCGATCAAGGCTCATCTTCTTATTCTAGGCGTGCAACTGCACGCTTTGATTTTTGTTGACAACAACTGTGCCTGGCTTAACATACGTCACGCACTCCGTTGCTCTTATTGGTTGTAGGTCTATCCAATTGAGTGCAGAGGCCTTTTTTTTCCTGGTTGGTTCGAAACACGCCCCATAATCACAGCTCTATGGAGCAGTATCAGACTCATATTCTGACTAGAATTGAGTAGCACTACGTCAGGCTAACACACTATGGACCTGTGCTGGGATTCCTTGGAGGCATTAACAGATGAGCAAAACATTCTGAATGTGAACCTATAGTGTCCTGATTAGCTCATCAGAAGCCTCTGTGAGTCTGAAATCTTTCAGTAACAAGCCGAGACTGAGGAAGCCTTTAATATTAAAACAAAACAACAAAAAAATAAAAAATTTTTGTTGAATGCAAATTTTTGGTGGGAAAGGGTAGAACTGTCAAGCTGCTGTGTGTGGCTGCTACTTTAAGCCTGCAGCCAGTTTGATAGGCAATCTGCAGGACCCACTGTGACACATTCCAGCTATTTGCAGAGCCTTCTCAGATGATGTGACGAAAGAGTCCAGCATGCAGCACATGGAACTTATTCGCCTGCAGTTTAGCAAAGAATAGATGGTTTCCACAGGAGCTACCGCCATCATTCCCAGAGCTGTCCAGGCTTTTAGCCACTATACCTTATTAGAAGCACATATCTGTGCAAGAAACTGGACGTTTAATAAAAGCAGTTATAGATCCAGGCTTACAGACTATTACTCTTCAAGCTTTACTCACAGATTTTAACAACAGCATCTATCAAAGTAAATGTGGCTCAGCTCTGTAGCAGAAATGTATCTAGCAGTAAGTAAAGCAAAACCAATTTAGAAGATTTGTGAAAAGCAAATGTTATTTAGGTCCTTTACAGGGAAAATATTTGCACTTGTTGACTGAATGCTAAAGGTGATACCTACGTTTTTCCACCAACTATTATTTTTTATTTACAGTAGCTCATTTACCAAGTTGAATTGGTAATTTCAAGGAAGAAAAACATACAAAAGTTAAAACATCACTTCAAAAATGTATAAAATATAACAATTTATATCCATACAAATACAGCAGCAGACATTCAAAATGGTCCTTCCCAGTCAAACGCCAGCCGAATGGCGGCCCACTTTCAGCCAATGTTTTATTTCAGCCAATGTTTTATATTGCAAAAAACTACAAGATTTTTTGTAAGTGGTTTTCTATACCAGAGTGATTTTAAATCTTCTGCATGACAAGAATAGCTAGGGAGGGAATGAGAAAGATCTTCTGTGATCAGGGCGGTCTTCCTGATCTCAAAGCGGTTAAGCAAAAAGGAGAGGGAGGTTTATGACCTGAGACAGTTTAATGCTTTCACAAAAAGTGTAAGTCACCAGTTTTATCACATTACAATTTACACCGATATGTTTGATAGATGATTGCTGACATCACAAAATCTGTCATGGTAAACCTCATCTGACCAGGATGGAGCTGCTCCCCGTCTAAAAACCAGACAGCCGACCTCCAGGTCCTCCTCTGTTTGACATCTTATCAAGTCAGTAAATGTTTTTAAGAAAGTGTTTGGCAGGATAAAATCTTAACGGCAAAAGAAAGCCTGAACATTAACTCTCCAACTCCAGAATCTACCTTTGAGTTGACAGAATTTGTTTGTCTTTAATGGGGACATGATTTTTAATACATGCTACAACCTCAGGAACCTTTCATTCACCTTCAGCCAACTGTTCATTTACTGCCCTCTGTGTGGTCTACCTGCCTGCAGCTACAGGAGCCGTAGAGAGGATGTTAGATTTTGTGTGAAAATTCGTCCACCTAACATGTTCCCTGTAAATTTTTCCCCTCACAGTTTCATTTTTATCTGCCAGAGTCCATCCCCTGCCTCTTTTGAAACTCCTTCCCTGCTTTCAGTCTCTCTGCTTCTAATATTCTCGCTCTTCTCCTCACCTCCCGTTACCTCGCTTAAGCCCTTTCATCTCTCCACACCAACAGCTCATCCTCATTCAAACTCATCTCCTGCACCTGGCAATTTAGACCCTGCTTTTTGCTTTACCACAGCTTTTTGTCCATAGAAAGATAGAAAAATGTAATTCTATTTTGCTTCCCCATTTTTTTCTTTTTACATTTTCTCTTTACACGTCTCACAGGTTTCGCACTTTTTACACATCTTGAACAGTCCTGAAGTTTAGTTTGTCCTTTATATAAAACCAACAACTATTCCAAACAATTTAAATGTATTTCTGGTAAACATGTTCTTTTACCAGTTTATTGCTTGTAGTTTGTGTTTAGTGTCGAAGCTGTCAGCTTTTAACTGAGGCTTGGACTCCCAAACACCTGCAGCGGATTGAAGGACAGAAAACAAGGAAAAGGCTCACATTTAGGCGATCAAAGAGTTCGTCTCCAGGTTCCTTATTCTCCATGAAAAGGTTTACATTCTTGAAAACCTGAAAACAGCAAAAAAAAAAAACAACTTATGAGTCTTCATCTAAATTAAATGTTTAATTTATCTGATGAATTTCATATTGAGTGAATGGATAAAAACAGGGAAACAACACAAAGATTTTCATATTTTCAACAGGAAACATTGTAAGAAGTGAAACTTTTTCATATATTAAGTGAAAAGAGGGGGGAGGAAATGGAAAGTCTGCATGTTGGCAAGTAAACTCTCTCTCTTCGTCCTCTGGCATGGGAGCTGGCTCGGAGCTCGTCTGCCTGGCTGCCTTTCCTGGACAGGGCCGACTTTTACACTTGCTTTTTGTATCTCTGCTTCTGTCTCCTTGAACCCCAGTAGGCCTCAGCAGATGGCTGCTCACACCGAGTCTGGTTCTGCTGGAGGTTTCTTCCTGTTAAAAGGGAGTTTTACCTCTCCACTGTCACTACAAGCATGCTTAGTGTGAGGGATTGCAATCGAGTAATTGAGTCGATGCAATCAGCTGGTTTTCCTTCGATAGAAAACTGAATCAATTTGACTGTATGATCTGGCTGAACTGTACAGTTCTTTGAGATGACATGTGTTGTGAATTGGCGCTATATAAATAAACTGAATTGAATTAAACATTCAGGTTTTCTAGACCTTTAATCTGTTGATCAAAAAACAGGAAAACTAAAATGGGAACAAAGACACCTGATGTGGGCCTCGTTGTTCACAGAACAAATAAATCATGAAAGACGACAAAGAGGAGCCTCAGATAAGTTTTGGTGGAAAAAAAACGGGTTCATTGATGGCTGGTGATCATTTCATTCATTAAAAAATGTTAAACATAGATTTAGTCATTGGGCTTTTTAATAGAGATCCAGTGATCTGATATTAATATCTGTTTAAGTCCCAAAGTGAAGGAAATTCTGGACAGAGTATCAGCGAAAATGGGTCCAATCCATAGGAAAAGATCTATTCAATCAATGTCTATGAGAAATTTAAGTTGGAGCAGTAACGTTTACCCCATTGAGTCTGTCTTCGAAATAACAGTCAGCTTTCAATCCTTACAGTTGTATTTTTGTTTTCAAGAGGAACTCTTTTCTGTTATCAATTACTATTTTGATGATTTCCTTTTCTGACCTTATATTAAAAGGTTGCCTTTTAGGCTATATATGTGTTAATTCCCAAATATACTTGCTTGTATAAAGGAGTTTAAGAAACATGAACAGTAATGATAATAAAACAAAGAGAGTTCTGGTACTGGGTCAAACATCTGAAGATAAATTCCCAAATTCCAGTATTGGAATCAGACCTGAAGTGAAACAATTTGGATTAATGCAGCCCCAATTTTTTAATAAATTAATCAAATAAAAATGTGAATATTTATGTCCTTCCTAATATAAATGTTTCCTGCATTTGAGGAGCAGCTGTAAAGCAGAGGTAGGTGAAGTTTGAAAGCCATGTATGGAGCCCTTATGCTACGTTCACACCGAACACGATTTGAGCAGGAGGAGCAGCCGGTTTACATGCAAAGTCTATGGTTGACGCGCATCAAAAAGTCCTCCAGCACGTCTAGAGTAGCTGAAGCAATGCCTCATGAGGTTCTGATGCATGTCAAGTGCTTCACAAGCAACAGGTGCTGGAGTTGGAAAATTGTATTTTTGTAGCTCGATGCGCCACATCAGCCAATCACAGAAGCTGATCTGAGGCTGGCAGGGTGACACATACAGCACTGCTGATGCGCACTATGATTACTCCACTAAAGCTGTTTATTATCCCTTAAATTGACTTTAAATATCGAAAACTGCCAGCAAATATTTTCACTTTTATTTGACTGGTGCCGGCAGTTTGTACCATATGCCAGAAAAATGCTAACGTCTACTTCCAGCCCCTGCAAACAGTAGGGGGAAAACTCCCAAGAGGCAACTGGCCTGAAGCAGCTGCTGCTGCTGGGGATTCTCAGAGACAGCGCACCACCGACACACGGCGGTTTGAGTGGCTCCAACAGCAAAATTATATTTTAAGGCAGTATCATAACCTTGAAGAACTGACTGCACCGACGATGTTTTGAGGCGGACTTTCTCACTTAAAAACATCAACCCACTTATCAAAGCAAATATAGAAAAGCCACTCCCATTAAACACAGGAGCAGCAGAAGCATCATATGTATATTTACACAGCTTACTGGACAATTGTTGAGGTTCATCTGACCTTAATGTGTACGCCCATGCAAAGGCTTTTTTGCTGCTAAAATCATGTTCTGTGTGAACGTAGCTTTAGTCGCAGATGCAGCCAACATAGTTTGGCCCCAGCATAAAAACTTCTGCCACCTGTCTTCCTCCCTCACTCCAATTTCTTGTCAGCTTGCTTTTTACATGAAAGACACTAGTACAAACAAAATTTAAAAAATTCAAGCTTAAAGATAAGAAAATGTAAGGGATTTTAACGATCTCTGTTCCAGCAAAGACAGGGGGAGGTAATCGCCAGTAAATGCCTGATTGATCCTCCTGTCTTCATTCAGGTCATACAGACAAAAGAAAGACATACCAGTTATTACATCAGTACTTATGAAACATTACACTCTTCAAATGTCTGTGTTTTAGTTCTGATCCCCCGCCCCCCTCCAAATATTTGATGATTTCAGATGCAGTAATTAACCCTGTAGGTTGTTGCTTTGAAACCCTTGCACAGCCCATATCAATATGTATTCAGCTGGCAAATTCACTGAGCTGCAGAGCGGTTAGTTATTGATGGCTCATTATTCACTCCATTGTTACTTCCCCATACAGGATTTGAACCATTAATCACCCCTGATGTTATTGGTGGTCCATTGTGTGCACTTCCTGGGTTACCTTATAATAATCTCCTAATATTGGTACAGTCATAAAAAAGTGGACACTCTTTTTCAGCCTCTGTGTTTTTCTCAAATAGCATGGCAGATTTTCTCTGCATTATAAAATATTTTAGTTTATTTTTTTGTTGTTTAATGATAAGAAAAAGCTAATTTATCTTCCCCCTATTGTTAAATCAAATATGTCACAATGTTAACACGAAGCAAAGACTGTAGGTTTTCTTACCAGGAACAACATGGTAAGAAGAAGGTGGTCCATGTTATTTTCTTACTTTACTTTGTTTACCAGCAGTGGTTTTATTATTTTGGCTGATTGCTGCATTAGTTTCAAGGGTTTTAAGGAGAAAGATGGGTAAGAAATTGAAATTACATCATATGATTTTTGTTCCATTTTATTCCAAGTGACATTTAGCAGCAATCACACTGATTTACCAGGGAATTGATGATGCTAAAATATGCAGAGACTAATTAATTCCAGCAAATGTGATGCTTCTGAATGCACTCATTTTAATAATTATATGTTCTGCCAAGAAACAAAACACTTTGGCTGTCAGGTGTTAACATTTCTTTCCCATCTCTGGAACAGAAGATAACACAGGCTGACACTAAACCAGGGGTTATTCATTTCCATTATGCAGCATACAGCCACACAAAGGATGACTGTTTATGAGTTTGGGATCAAATAAAAAAAACTAAAAAAATAATTAAGCATTTTTCATATTTTTCTCTTCAGGCAGGAACACCACAGTTGTGAGTAATGTTTTTTTATTGACTATTTCTCAAGAAGCAAAGAAATTATAGAGAACACGTGATAAAATTCCAGCAGATAAAGTTAACAAGGTTTGTGTTTTCAGCTCTGTATCAAACCTCCCCTCCCTGCACAGAGTTTGATTCATTATTCTCAGTAAGAGTAAAAACAGCAAAGGAAACCTATTCAAATAAGGTATTAAAGAAAACACTATTGATTTTCAAAACAGAGGCAATTTAATCAGCCAAGAGAATTTCTTAGATCATTTGCTGCATACCTGCATGTGTTTTAATGGGTAAAGAACCTAAAAACGATTAAAACATGAATGCCTCCACATTACTTTATTCCCACTTTTCAGTGATTTTACTCCCATGGAGCCACAGAAAAGCTTATTACTCCATCTTTCATGGAAAGAAATGCAAGAGGAAGATGGGTAAAGTAAAATGAAGCTAAGCAAAAAGCTATTAACTTGCTCTGTGAACTCTGAAACATCTGAAGCACCGGGGAAATCGTGAACAGGCTTGCTGTCATTAGTACTTACACTGTGAAAACAAGCCCTAAATAGTTCTGAAAGACTGTTTAACTCTTTGTGAGGAGCATGCATCATTTTGGGGGGGTGGAAACCTGCATGACTGATTTGACATTTAGACGGCAGGTTGAAGTCAGCTTAGAGAGAGTATTTTTGAAGCTTGACTCATAATAAAAAGCCCTTTTTAAAGTAATTGCAGCCCCTGCTCTTCTTATTCTAAACATCATTTTTTTCATCAAATAACAGTGCTAAAGGATTTCATACCATATGGATAATTTTACTTAAAATGATATAGAAAATATCTATAGAGCAAACAAACTTTACTAAAACTGAACGGCATCACAGAACCAGATGACATAACAGGCTCAGTAAAGCTACAAATATGTACCTATTTAACTTCTCCTTAGGAAAAAAACTGAGCTTAACATAAACAAAAATCCATCTTAATCACCCCTTTACAGTGCTGCCTAATACATTTTGATTTCTTTGCTTTTTTTGATACACCAAAATGTTTTATCATCAAATTGAATTTAGTATGAAATTACCAATTAAAATAGCCTAAGAAAAAATAAATATGGAAATGTAGATGGAGTATATATATATATATATATATATATATATACACACACACACACACACACACACACACACACACACACACACACACACACACACACACACACACACACACACACACACACACACACACACACACACACACACACACACAGAGATACACAGCTGACAGTCCTACTGAATAGACTGTTAGAATTTTTATAATGGCAACAAAAAAGCAGCTAAGTAAAGAAAAACGAGTGGCCATCATTACTTTAAGAAATGAAGGTCAGTCAGTCTGGGAAAAAAAAAAAAAAAAAGACTGACTGGTTTGTGTAAAAGTGTGAAAATCTACACAAACCAACCTTGACCTATAGGAAAGTGTCAAACATTACATTAGCGTCATAATAATGTGCTCAAAAGCCTGGCTACCACTCAGCTACCAGAACACAAGCCTGTTTAAAGGACTTTTGCAGGCAGGCTAACAAAGGTCCTTATTAAAACTGAGGCACAGTTGACTTCAAGCAGCCTTTATAGAAAAACTTGGGGATGTTGGCCACCAGCTCTTTTTTACTATAGACTGGACTCACCTGACAGTATTTCTGGTCTCATTTTCTAAAGTAGGATAAAAGTAAAATGTATTCTTTGTCAGTATGTTCTTACAGACCTCGAACACCTGTACACCTTGTTCTGCACATTAGGGTGCAGCTTTTATCTTTGGCCAGCTTTGTTTAATTTTCACCATAAAGTAGCAAATGTGTTACAAATGTCATTTTCATAGACCTCAACTTCTATACAAATAAGGAAAATGTGTTAAACTGTCATTTCATCATTGAGTAAAATTATATAGTGATATATATTCAACTGTTGTGTAGCCCTAGTCAGAAATTATTATAGAAATCAAGTTTAGAAATGTGTTGATTTGCTGATTTGCTGAAAGCAAAAGCTTTAAAGTCTGACACAGTCAGGTGAACTGGGACTGAACACTCTGTGGAATGTGATGGAAATTGTTACTCATTAGTCATAACATTCTGCTAGGGCTGGGGGATATGGCCCAAAAGTAAAATCTCTGATTTTTTTTTTAATTCAATTTAATTCAAATTTTTTCCTCCCTAATTATTAAAGAAAGCAATAAGTACAAACATGACACCATGTTTTTGGCTATGTGCAAAGCAAATCTGCTCCTTTCCTGTCATATGCGATACTTTGCGCAAAAAAGATTCAGCTAAAACTAGCCGGTTCTTAGCTGAGGGTTGTTGTTTAGTGTGGGTTTTCTCGTCCCAGAGAGACTGGCATTTTCACTACTGCGCCACGCTATTGGCAGCCATTCTTCTGTTACCAGCTAGCTTGTTAGCCATCTGGACCGGTAACCTTTTCTGACCTAAAATATGCCTTTCAATACACAACCCCATTTCTTCTAATACAACAGCATCTAAATAAGCACACCATCCCCCCTCCCTTGCTGGGAACCTTGTGTGTTGCTAATGTTTACAAGCCTCTATTCAGTGCTGTTTCTGCTACCTCGGCTGCAGCTCGTTTATGCAACTGCCCCCATCCTCCTACTGAACTTGTGTTTGGGTAGTAATGCATTCTGATAAGCACCAAAAGACACGTCACCAGAGCATCCAGCTTTATCGCTGGCGCTGCTATGAAACTCATGTTGACAAGTTTATTTTCCACTCCCGAAAAAAAAAACCCAACTACAGTTGCCGCACACTGAAAATTTGCCACTACACCTGAGAATTTTAAGCCGTGTAGTTTCAAACAAAAGATTATTTTATTCCCTTTTTGAGAACAAATTTCTCACGCAGCTGTAGTTATGATGTCGTTTGCTGTTTCGTGAGACGCCGTCACTTGCAAAACTGCAATCTGAAAGTAATACTGCTGCTACAGAAACTCAGGAGTCAAAAATCAACAGTTATTAAAAAAAAATAAAATATTTTTTTTTTTAAATCGCCCGCAACAACAAAAAATTTTAATTAATTTAATTGTTTTTTTTTGCCCAGGCCTACATTCTACGTATAATTGTTTGAGTTTTGCAGGGAAGTGTTTAAGCCTCATCACTTCTTATCAATGTAAAAAAAGACTTAAGGTATTTCAAGAGGCAGAGTGTAACATTATCCCACTATAATGACCCAGTTTTCTAAAAATCAGTCAGTTTCTTTCAATCAGAGAACCTTGGGAACAATGAAATGCCCATCTCCAAAATACATTAACAAAACCAGGACAGAAACCGGACTTAAGCCCACCCTGGCACTGAACTGTCACTGTAAACACTGTTCCAAATTCAAAGAACAAAATCTGGTTTTATGTCAAGAATTACTCCTGATTCTAGTTTCAAACACATGAGTGTAAGAATGTCTGGATGTGGGTGCGTTTGTAAAGTGTACATCTACCTTCTTGATGACTGGGACCTTGTTGTAGTAGCGAATGGAGTCTTTACCCAGGAAGTCGAACTCCACCACCCACTCATTACCATCCAGCTGATTGTGCAGGGTGATGTGCTCCACTCGAAGAGAGCAGCAGCCAACGGTATCCGCTGTCTCTCCTTCCTCTTTCTCATTTCCAGCTCTCAGGGCCAGCTGTTACAGGGCACAGGATTTAAGTTCAACATTTACATGAAACCCAAGCAGAGAAATGTATGTCCAAAAGATTTGATGTACTTTAATCTACTCTAGTTTCAAAGAATCAAGAACAGAGCAAGTACAAGTTCTTAAAGTGATTCAGACAAAGAAAAATTTTCTTCAACTGCTGTGAAGCAACTGGAAGCAAACCTTGTCTATGAAGTACAGGGCCACAGCCCTCTGCCTCTTGACCATCTCTTTAGACTTGAGATCCAGGAGGTACTGGTTACGAATGCTGTCCACACATGACTTTAGCTTCCGAGCAACCTCGTATTTCTCCCAGTCCTTTTCTCCCTGCACGTTTGGTTTGTTGAGAAGAGAAACAAAATGAGAAGACAGGGCCCGGTACACAAAAAGAGAGCAAGACACAGAAGGCGGACGAGAAAAATTAAACCATACGGCAGAATAAATGGAAATCAGCATAGAGAAAGAGGGAAAACATAAAAACTGGTGACACCCTGATAATAAAAAGAACTTTGTTATGAAAAAGCTGCAGCTTAAAAACATTCTATATGATAATCATATCATGAATGAATGCAGATTGAAACAAAGACTAAAATTTTAATAACATTCTTATCATGCACAGTTTGCTCCTGCTTATCAAATGTGACCAAGAATCTCCCCCGCCCCCACGGGTGGTTCATATTATGATGGAGATTAACAGCCGAGCGACAACTTCTCCACTTCAAAGACAGCTCAGATGAAGGAGTGGAGAAAAAGCAGAAGCGTTTGCTTCTTTTGTACCCTCAGAGTAAATCTTTATATGAAATCTACCAACAGTATAATAAAATCAAGGATCCAAGACAGAAAGAAGCTGAGAAGAAGTAGCAGAGACCGAAGTTGGTCAGATCTGATGAGAACTAGCAGAGGGCCATCTTTGTAAACATTCAGCCAGATACCATTTAGATAAAAGCAATTTAGGTGTTAATAAATAATGCCCTAATCAAACTACACATTTAAATTCATTGGAGATGATGGTAACAAATGACAGATGAAGTAACATGATGATCTGATACCATCCTTTCTTAACGCGCTCAGCCTGTTTCAGAAAAGATTTGTCAACATAAAAGTTGGTAGAGAAAGAAAAAAAGACTTGCAGCTGTAGCTGCACCTAAATGTGGTTCTTTAAAGTCTTGAAGCATGGTGGGATACAAAAAAAGCTTCACAAATAAAAATTTATCCTTTTCCTTCAACTTCCCAATAATGAATTATGCAGTACATTTGCATGCATCTATGTGTATGTATTATAAAAAAATTCTAAAATAATTTGATGCATTTGTGATATAAATACAGAAAAACAAATGCAGGGTAAAGTTGAAGCAGTGGAGAGCAGAATGCTTAGTGAAATCGATCCAGGTGTGTTAAAATCCACCAAAGAGTTCATGAAGAGTGATCAACTGTATGAAAATAGACCTCCCTGACAACCAATAAAGAAGTTTACTTGCTGCCATACATCTAGAATCATAACACAGATCATTTCCAGCTGGGTGACTACCTTAAGCTTCGAGTTTGCATTGAGCATAATGTATTTAATGGAGCCTTGGATATTTTCAGTCCAGCTGGCCAGCCACGTCACTGTGTTGTCATGTCGAACTTCCTTCCAGTGGTGACCAGCGGGTGGTACAGGTGTGCGAGAGTCTCTGCCAAAACACAACATTAAGTGAGAGTAATTCTTGAACTGAGCTGGCTTCCCTTGGGTTGCTCACAGGAGAGTAACTGCAGGGGTGCTGGTTAATTGGGGGTGTGGGGTACGTGGGGGAGATATGGAATGTGAATAAATATAATTTAAGGGAAATAAACAAAGAGACTAATCATTATGTTCTGCTCCCAATTATTCCTTGTGTTTGAGAGAAAGAAACTGCAAGATTGAGGAAAAAAAAGCCTCATCTCTAATAATAAGAATACCAATTACAGAATTCCCTTTAAATAGTGTTGCGTATCAATTAAGCTCCATACTGCAGTTAGTAATTAAATGACATGGGGGGGAAAAAACAAATATCAGGTAACAGTAAAATAATTAACCATCCATCTGTGTTAGCATTAACATTTTGAGAATGTTTATGTTTCTTCTGCTAAGGTTTGAGTCTTGCTTCAATAACAACCCAGATATCAACATATGCTCATAGACACATCTAGTGCTGAATGGTAGCAGTGACACTATTTGACATAAAAGTTCAGGAGTTCCAACTCCAAAGACGGTTGCTGCACATTCATTGCAGGTTTTCTGTCTCCATCACCTTGCTATCATCGCCATAATCACACTACTTGCATCGCCAGAAGCGGCTCAGTGGCTTAACTGCGTTTTGGTCACACCTCTTCATAAGGATAACACTTAAATCGCTTGCTCAGGTCGCTGGAATGTCTTTCGGTTTGAACACAACATAACATCAAGTAGATCTCGTTAGTGCCATGGCTTTGAATTAAAAACATGACAAGAAGAAAGGAAACAGAAGTTGCTGAAAACTCAAGTCGCCATTGGGGTCTAGCAGGAGCACAGAAAAACCTCAAAGCTGTATGCTGAAACATCCACAGGAAGAACTACAGCCAGTATACATCCATGGAATAATAATAATAATAAAAAAAAAGGATTATTTTCCCTTAACTGCTTCTCTAACCACTGACCTACCACTTGTCTGTCAGGATCTACAGCAGTCTATGTGTGAAAAGAGGGCTATACCCTTTATCACAGGGTAGACTTATGACCATGCACATACAGTAAAAGCCATTCAAAATGGCCCTTCCCAGTCAAACGGCGGCTGAATGGCAGCCCACTTCCCTCCAACCCCCAACAAAATTCAGACACTGGAGTGACCCCTCTTGTCTATTTTTTTTTTTCACTCAAATCCACACTTTTACTGAATTACGGGGTCTGACTAGGAGATGACTATCTTTAGATCTTAAGGTCCACAAATCATGGCAGAAAGAATATTTTAGTATAAAGATTGATGTTTTAAAAAGGAATTGTAGGGGACCAGCTAAGGGCACATCAAGGAAAGTGGAGAAATTTTCACTGGCTACTACTGTACTAAGATCTAAGGGCAATTCAGGCTCAATAAGTCACCCAAACAGGGACATTTTTAGACAGTGGAAAGAACCCACAAATACCAGGCCGTGGATCAAACCTTCTTGCTGCAAGGCAGCAGTGCTACAAGCTGTGCCACCATGCAGCTGATAATCCATAGTTTTAGAATGCTGATCTATAAACCTTTCATTTCATTGTCCTGTCTGGAAAAACAAATAGACTCACTTGCTACAGTTGATAATCACATCTTCAGGTTGGATTCTCTTCTTCAGCATTCCTTGTTTGGGATGCTCTCCTCTTCCTCGAAACAAACCTGGAGGCTCAATCTTAAAATTTCCGATCCGTTCCCTGTGGTGATCCAGCAGGCAATAGCCATATTCCTCCACTATTTTCTGATTAGCTTCTTTTATAACCTAAAAAAAAAAAGTAATTGAGTCCAAACTGTAAAGAGACCAAGAGTCCCATCGGCCCCCCTCAAACACAACCTCAAAGATTTTTAGAAAAAGAGTGAAAAGAATCTGTGTTACCTGCTTCTCCTCTTTGCTCATGCTCTTCCTGGCTTCCACCTTGGCTTTATGCATGGCATGGATTTCTCTGAAGTCACACTTCTCAAGATCTTTAATCAGTGACTTCTCTTCAGGGGTCATTTCCTAACAGCCAAAAATGTATTAAACTGATGTGATTTCCTTCTTAAATTAGAATCAGCATAAAGAATATGGTCTAACAGCACTGATTAATTTTTTACCATATTAAATCATTCAAACTAACTGATGGTAATAATGCATAATGTGCCTCATAAGCTTCATGGGAAATGATTTTACTGCTGCAGCTGCAACTTTAGCATTATACATGATAAAGCCTCTAAATGGACCATAACCAGAAGGGTTAACGTCTATATGCAGACCAATAATAAATGTAATAAGAGCAACATTAAGGACAAAGGGTTTGGACTCATAGTTTAAGGCTTCTGCCCAGTAGGTCAACACATCACAGTGGTCTACCTCAGGCCATCAATACAGAGACAGCATCAGTTTATTCCTAAAGATCCTTATGATTAAATAGAAATAGTTTCAGAGATCACAGTGATTACAGTGAAGTAATCAAAAGTGAGTGGAGAATATTTTACTGTGCTAATGCTCAAACTGAACATTAGAGTGGAAAAGGGGTTTTAAATGACTTTAAACACAGCATGGTTATATCTTTCTACCATCCTGCCTTCTATCACCAGTTCAACCGGCTGTTGGTGAAATGGGGGAATAAATCATCACCATAATGTAAAAGGTGGTGGAACAAGTGCACTGTATGAATTAACATTTTTTTAAAGCAGCTAAAAGCAAATAATACAGTTAACAGATATTAGCATGAAGCTCATTAAATTAGTGTTTTTGCAAGATATATTTTTTTTCCTCAAAAATGTAAATTGTTTGCGGAATATTAATTTACTAAAACTTTTGTTTTAACATTTAACATTAAATAAAGTTTGGCAGATTTAATGGATTAAAGCGTACCTAATGAAAAGGAGAGCAGTGTTACATAAAAATGGTCTCCATTCAGCACCACAGCAAAAATGACAGCAAAACTGGTTAAGGCATTGCAGAAAAGTCCAAACTTTAATGTGAGAACTTGAATCTGAGCATCCATGATGAACAGTGATACTCATAATAAGGCTCTTCAGATATATTTACACTGAGATTAGCAGTTGATATTTTTTAAGCATATATAAAACCAGCTGGAACCATACTGACAGTGTGGACAAGCAGTCAGTCAGCATGAATGACACCCACAATGGGGCGGGCACTGGGGGTAGTGAAGCGAGGAGGGTTTTTTTCCGGCTATAATAAAACTCTATAATTGGATTTGTTCATATGCAGGGAAGCTAGTTGTCTGGATTAGCATATCAATGCTTTCACATAAATCGTATTTTCAAGAGCATTGAGCACTAAGCAGCGCAAAAATTAATTCTGCATGATATGCTTCCAGGCTTGGCACCAAATTCTCCCTATAAGGAAGACTTCCTCACAGAAGCCTTGGACATTCCATAATCATTCCAGTCATGTATTTACATGTGTATGTCCTTTGGTGTCCAATGCATAGCTTAATTCAGATGCCCCATGACCACACTGAGTTTCATCAGGAACTTTAGGAACAAACTTGTTTTAAAAGCAGCAGACGTTCCATCGGGCCTGACAGGAACCACACACCTACTGACAACAAAATAAATGTCCCATCTTTGGGCCATACCTTCCTCCAGTCCTTAAAGAAGTTCTCACGAAACACCTTCTTCGTTGTGTATTCATGGTCCAACATCTGGGCAAAGAAAACTGCCACTTCTTCTGCTGCTGGGCTCAGCTTCACCTTCTCACCTGCACACACATAAAAACTGTACGTTTATTACCTTTTAAAGAATTATCATGCATAATATCTTAAGATTAGTTTGTTGCAACCTTCTTGCTACATTTATATGCTTAACCGGTTTTATTCTCAATCATATGCAAACCTTTAGAATTTCACGGTCTAATAAAATATCCAGCATACAGAGGCAGCTACTTCACCTCCTTTAGAGTGAGAGAGGCAGATTTAAAGACACTCAGGCCTACTAACAGGAAGGAGCCATATACGCACAAACAGAGGAATTAACAGATCAAATACCCTCCTATTAAATGGCATTGTGGTCAGACGATTAAACACGGCAAAAACAATCAGTCTCAGCTCATATACACCCAGTATCCTAAAGATTCAAGTATTTACAATTAGGGGTGTATGAAATACGTTAGAGTCAACGGCTACGTTCAGACCGCAGGCCTTGATGCTCAACTCCGATTTTTTTGTGAAATCCAATTTTTTTTTTTGCGTTGCTGTTCATATTTCCAAATATATGCGACTTGTATGTGATCTCCTGTGTGAACTGCAGTCATACAAGGCAAGTGTCCTGCATGCGCAGTAGAGGACGCAATGGTGTCACAGGCCAGCGTGCTCTGTGTTTACGGAAGTAAACATGGATGGTAGCGCTGGAACGGATCTAGCGATCTTTTCCAACCATAAAAACACAATCTTTTCAATATGGTTAAACATAAACACTGCTCTTGGCATCATCATCTGCCATGGTTGTTGTTTTTCTTGCTGCTTCTGCGTAGCAAGACACAGAATAGTGACGCTTGACGGGTATTAATGACGTTCAGGTCGGATGAATCCGACCTGGCTGTTCAGACACAGGTCGCATTTGAAAAGATCTGAGTCGTATCGGATTCAGGACCACATAGCCAAGTGGCCTGGGTCAGATTGGAAAAAATAGCCAATGTTTTTTTGAAGTCTCATATTCAAAGACTCTCTGAAGTCTATTAGATTTAAACTTATTTTTGTAGATTCAGAACAAAAACAGAAGATAAAATTTCATCTCCGTCTGCCCGATTGTGGCCAGTCGGCCCAAACAGGCTAAATAAGTGATCCGATGTCTGGACAGCGCTGAATACGCCTGAACACAGTCCAGATGTTTTGTTACAGAATTGGCCATGGACTTATCTGTATTAGTTGGACAGTCTTAAGGCATCTGCCCTCAGATGATTCAGGATGATTCCTGAAGGATTTGTATACACTCTGTGTGTACAAAATGACAAAGTCAGTCTAAGTCGAAGTAGCGATCGCCTGAGAGATTCACTAAACAAACCAGATGAAGTACAACATCAGAATCAGCACAGAGTTTGGATTTTATTTTGTGTTCATAAGGCCAGAAAGCGTCTTTAGTCTTCTTAATGTTTTATTTTATCTTTATCTATTCTGAAGCCAAATTAACCAACTCTGGCCCCACATTTCTACAGTAGCCATACTGACAGAACAATGCATTGCTAGAGTTATGTCATTTTTTCCCCAAGTTTTTAGGTTCCAGGCCAGCTGGAAGAAGAGCAGCGCTTCTCTGACCGTTTGAGGGAGGATTATTGTGTGGGTCTGTTTTTTGGGAGCTGGGCTCAGCCCCTTAGTTTTAATACAAGGAACCCTGAACACCTCAGCAGACCAAGACATGTTGGGAGAGTTCTATTGCTCCTTACTATGTGTGAACAGTTAAGTGAGGATCCCTTCCTCTTCTAACATGACAGTCCACCAGCGCACAAATCAAGGAGCCTGGAGACACGATCAGTCTGAAAATGGAAGCTCCTAACCTGCAGAAGGCTTATTCATGGAGCAAGAGAACAGCTCAAAGTTCTCTCTGCATGTAAATAATGGAAACCAAAACAGAAGAGGATGCAAGCTTAAATATCAATGACGTAATTCAACAAGAGATCAGGAGAGAATCAGTAGCTAACATTAGGGAGAACCTGCAGAGGATTGTGAGAGAAGCGGAGGATATGTTATTGGATTCAAGCTGCCCTATCCGACAGACATTTTAGGATTCCAGAAGAAAGCCAGCATCAGGATGCGTTTAAGGCTTGACACCTTCTGTAATTTACATCCAAGGAAGACTGTACTTCGTGCAGGATCTCAGTAAATGTGACCTTCCACAGGACCTGGTGGTCATCTCCTACACCATCATATTTAATCCTTTTTTGTTCAACCATCTCTATGGTTTGGGTTCATCTCTAAAAAAAAAAAAAACAGGGCCTGCTAAAACTGCTGGGGAAGATTGAATCTGCAGAGAATCTTCAGGGCTGCCCTTAACTCCATCCACAACCTTTGCAGGTCCAGGCCCAAAGAAAAGGCAACACACACATCAGAGGCTCTTCAGATTTTCCTTCAAAATGTATCTGCATTTATTTAAAAAAAAATCAGAAAGTTTAAGGTTTTGCCAAAAACACATCTGATTCTTCCTGTAGGAGAAACATGAAACCCCCCACCCCCAACTGTGATTAGGCACCAGGCTATGATGGCGTCTTATCCCCTCCTAAATGTAGACACCAAGGAGACAGAAAAACTCTCAATTTCAGACACTTAAAGCACTTGATTCTGACACTTGGAGTAAAAAAGCCCATATTGGTGGCCTACTGATCCCTTTTAGGAAAGGAAAAGGTCACTGGAAGGTAATGATCATAACTGGTGAATTCAGAAATGATTGAGTATTATGTCACAAAATAAGACCTGTGGGAAAGTTCTTTAAGGCTGTCTGAGTCTTTTTAGACTCTCTCCGCTGAACTGACCTTTGTAGAAGAAGTTAACATTGTCAGGAAGAGGCTGGTACTCAGGAGGGAAGTAGGGTCCATTGTGTTCCAAGAACTTCCATTTTACTCCATCTTCATACTTCTCTTCCTCCCACCTGACAAAAAGCAACATGATGAAAAAAGGAAGGAGACGTGTCAAAGCAGGATGAAAAGGGCAGCATTTCAAAACCATCTCCAGCGGTTCTGCTCCTCCTCTTCCTTCTTTTTTATCTTCAGCTGTCTCGCTTCTGCGATCTCTTCTTTTGTCCTCTTGGCTTTTTTCGAGGATGGATGCTCTTCTTCCTCTTTCTTCACCATCTGGGCAGAGATAAACATTGAAGATGTGGATTCAAAAACTCCTGCTGTGACCTGCACTTACAACCAACCACCTCATCTTTTTAAGGTTTATAGATGGAGGAAGATTGCCAGGAAAGACTTATGTTTACCTTTTCTGTTTTCTTTTTGGATTTCTTTGTCTGAGCTTCTCCTTTATTTCCTTTTTGATCACTAAGGTGTCCATTGCTTCTCTTTAAGCTGAAGGAATAAGATAAAAAAAAAAAGGTTACTGCATGTACAGTAACCAATGAACGTGTTTAAATAGAGATCATATTTGATGAGGATCACTTACACAGGGGATGAAGCTGATTGTAAAGGTTCTTCTGAAGGTTCATCTTTGACCCTTTTCCTTTTCAAACCTTTTTTCTTTGAAGTAAAGTCCTCATCCTGAGGGTCTTGTTTCACCACATCACTGATCAGAGATAAAAAAGGAATTTCTCTCCCTAATTACAATTGTTACTCTGTAGTTAACATTTGTTATACCTTTGGGTTAAAACATTAACCTTTTAAAAGCATTTTAGCTTTAAACAGGAGGCCCAGTAATGTTTTCCATTTATCTGTGATTAAAATTATTCCCCTGAGACTATTTTTTTATTATTAGAAAAATGTTTTAAATGCTTTCTAAGATACCGTTTCACATACATTTGATTTTTCATATCAAAAGAAAGCTTTATGGCTGCTTGACATCAGTATCTGAAAACATGACTTTTAGCGACATCAAGCCATGAAACACATTTCATTGCACATTATGGCATAAAATAAAAAACAATAAGCACAAAATGATTTACTTCAAATCAGTAAATTACTCATAATTGTGATGATTAACCAGGAAACAGTTGTGCAATTATACAATTACAGCATTTACCTAAAAATAATTGCAATCACACATTTTGAAAGCAAGGAAAACAAATCCATGCATATGGGAATGGGCAAAAAAAAAAAGACAATCAGCGTCACCCCGCTTTGACATCCCATGTTGAGAAGATATGTAATGATAACGCCAGACCAGGCTAAGGCATTGGGTCATATGAGAGAAAATATTAAGGTTCTGCCGCAAATAATCGCCAAATTGGTTACTGAACACAAATGACGAGCCACTAAGGCAGAACTGCCCAGGACTGTTTCTGAGGAAACCAGCAACCATGGCACCTCTACAGCTGGGCTCCTGATGGAAGGTAATGAGCCTCCATTCAGATTTTCTCTCCCTCTCTCTGGACTGCATCTGGTTTGCACAACCCAAAGTAAGAGCGCAGATATAAAACAAGGAAAATAACACTCTTTTAGACAAAAATAAACCTGCTAGGAAAAAAAAGGTAGAGAATGCATCTAATCTGACTCAGTTTTAAAAAAACAAAAACAATTGAAGACTAATAAAAATGTTTTTTAGTGCAAATCCTTTTCCTTCTAAGCCAGTCATAGTGGATGAGCAACAGAGCAGAGTGGTAAACATCGCTTCCATTCGAAAATTTGTGCACAATCATTGTTAAAGCAGATCCTACTGACAGAAGCTCTAACACCAGATCATTTTTGTCCAAAAAAGGGCAGTTAGATTGATTAAACTTTCAAAGCAAACAAAACTGAAAAAACACGTCCTTCATTTCTTGATTTGAAATGGATTTGTTTTGACTTACAAACAAACAGCTAAATGCATATAAGTCCAGTGGATAAGAGCAACTCCCCTTTGCTCATCTCTTCCCATGATGAGCGAAGATTTCTGTTGCAGCCAGAAGACACCATTAGGTGTCAGTGTTAATAAGTCCTTTCTTCTCCAGGAAATTACAAATAAGTCAGTGCTCTTAACATTTGCAGAAGAGTCCTTGAAAGCAAATAGTCTTCAGCAGGGGATTACAAAAATGAAATATCACCCTATATTCTACCTTTGTCAACCTCATTTTAAAAGTGAGTACATTCTGATGACAAGGACTTCAGCTCCACTAAAGTGTGATTAAAAGAAAACGGGAGCGCTGCTTAAAGCCCCCGTCTCATCTTGATGATTTAGACAGCATATGCCTGACGTATGAAAAATCTGGAAAAAACACTGGCATATGTTGGATAAGTTATGGGCACGCTGAAGTATGTGGAAAAACGCTGGCGCAAGTCGACATACATTGTATGTTGGGAAATCTTGACGCGCCGACGTATGCCAGTGTATGCTCATACGTGGGGCATATGTTACATGTAAGTTATCTGATCGCTGACATACGTTAAGTGTAAGTTACTCATAAGTCTTATAAGTTATAAGTAGCTTATCCAAAACATATGAATAACTTATGCGTAACTTATAAAGAACTTATCTTAAATGCATATCAACATATTTGAGATGCTCCAGATGACCGCTGAACGTGTTTTTAACTTACAGCGACTGTATATTGGTGTATTGGCAGCGTTTTGGAATAAAATGAGGTTCACAGGAGGAAACTGTCTGTACTCCACCAGACTTCATCCCCACCTGTGACGGGGCAGCGCGGTCCCCCCCGCTGACACGCATGCACGCACACACAGAGCAACGCACGTGCGCACACACCCACTCATCTGTGAGTCCTTTTCCGTGTATGGCAGTTACAGCCGGATCGCTTTACTTACTTATATTACCCTCTTGTATGATGTGGCACGACCAAGGATGCACACTTGGTGATGCTCATTAATCAGAACTCCTACATATACAGTTAAACACATACACACTAGGGATGGGACGATTTATGAAAACCGTCCGAACCGTTCGGTTCGACTGTCTCGGTTTGATTCACGTGTGTTTCGTTCGGTTCATGCGCTGCTCCTTTTTCTCATAGGCGAAGCGTTTACACTCCAGAGCAGAAGGTGGCGGTACTGCGACCAAAGCCAACCATCAGTAGTAAACAAGAAGAAGAAGAAGCGAAGCAGCTTAGACGGGTGTAGCAGGGAAAAAAAATCAGTGGTTGTAGAGAATTGTGTCTGAATGGCGAGGGGGAAAGAACAGGAGTTGGAAGACGCGCCAGCAGCACTTTATAGGTCTGCTGTTTGGGACCGCTTTGCATTTAGAGTGACCTACGATGACGGCGGAAAGAAAGTTGTGGATAAAAGTGCAACAGTGTGCAAGCATTGTGCAACGCGTTTTGTTTATGCTAACAGCAACATGACCAACATGTCATGCTAACCCCGAAATCCCACATACTCCGTCAGCAACCCCCGCTCCGCCCCGCTGCGCTCCAGACCGGCTGCTCAAAGCAAAGCATACAGCCCCCACTGTGGCTCCTGTCCGCTCCGCTCTAAGTCCCTTGGTGATGGTAGAGAGCATGCGCGAGATGATTAAATTCAAAGCAGCAAAACATACGGAAATGATCTAGGGTTTCCGCGGATCATTAAAAATAATTACAATCCATTATTTTTTGGGGGATTTTTTCATTAATTTCATAAATTTTTATGGGATTTCGGTGTAACAATCAACATATATCGAACCGAACCGAAAACCGTGACCAGAAACCGTGAATCGAACCAAACCGTGGATTTTGTGAATCGTTCCACCCCTAATACACACGTTTGCACTTACCCGTGGAGCGTTGTTTCGACCAAATGGGCCATTTGAGAGAAAGTGGGCAGGGTACTTCCGGGGTTTTTCTTTCTTGTTCGTTTTTCCCCATAAAGGAAGTCAGTGATTTTCCGCTGGGAAGCTTAATTGTATTTTTTTAAAACTAAAGAAAGTAGCTTCAGAATGGAAGCAGGAATTCAATATTGTTTTTTCTTGGGATGTTTTTTTTATTTAAATTTTCTTTCTTATTATTATTACAATCAATGCTCAATTGTTTGCTGATCTAATTCTAGGGCGGGGCTTAGGATTTATAAAGAAGAGCTACTGGCCCTGCTGGGTCAGACTGGCCTGGTTACAGAGAAGGTAACGTTGCTGTGCAGCACAAAAAAGTGTTTTGTTTTTTTGAAAGGATGTAAATACTACACTTGTATCCATATTATTTTTTTTATATTTTTCCCTGCTGCTCTGCACTTATTTTTGGGAGGTATAAAATAAAATTCGTAACCTGAAGATGTCGACATGCCCTCCATGATTTTTTCATTATTTTGGAGTCAAGTTTACTGTGTCAAGGCCCAACACAGGGGGTGTTAGCAAGAATCCATGACACCATCGTAGGGTGAGCGAGAAGGTGAATGTGATGGATCTTCACTGCGTTCAAGGCCAGGGCCAACAAACTCCTTGGCAGACATGATGCTGAATTTGCTGCAACTGCAAACCCTTTTTCTTTCTTTTTATCCATTTTTTTTGGTGGGTGGTAAAGAGAAGCTGGGTTAATACAGCAATCAAAGAAATCTACTCATGCAGGCCGGGTGCCTTGCTGCCCCTCTCAGGACACTGACTTGTTACATTTCATGGGCATTACGCTGCCATGTGCAATGCATACGTTAGGCCGTTTTTGGACATAAGTTCTAGAGTCGTTATGAATACTAAAAAACATAAAAAGTTCAGCGTATGCTAAAGTTTTAGAAGAGTCTGGTACGTCAGGCATACGCTGGCTAAATCGTCAAGGTGTGACATTTTTCTGTCAAACTGTTCTACTGACCAAACATCTCTAAAACATTACAGAAGGTAGTGTGGGTTACAGTTTCCATTCTGACATTTACAGCCATCAGTTCTACAGCATCACAACCCTAGATTGTATCTTTCCTCTAATGAATAAAGTCCAGAAAATCATAATATTTAGCAGCTCAAACCTTTGAGGTGCTAAAGAGCAGAAGGGAAACTGTTTCTCTGACCGGTATCTCATCTGAAATGTCACTTATCGGACTGGGATGGGTTAAATCAACATCTTCCAAGTTATCCATTAACAACTATACAGGAGGACTGCTGCGAGTCATGTTTGACGCAGCAGGCCTTCAGCTGGTCGGACACTGGGCCACCATTCCTGCTGAGTATTCAACTACTGAAACCATGCACTCTCTTTTATTAGCCCTGTGACAGGTCACAGATATTCTCCCTCAGCACAGAGTTAAATGAAGTTGTAGAGACAGCTTAGCGCATTATACAAAGTGAAAAGGCCGATATATATATCTATAAATGGTCCTTAAACATCCAAATAAAAATCAATTTCCTTTACCTCTGGAGGGAGAAGAACCATAGAAGGGAAAGAGATGATTGGCACAACAGCAACATGATCTCTTTGCAGCTTATTGTGTTGGCCTTTAAAAGTATATCATCATCTAGTGTTAAAAATGATTCCCTACCTGGAACTGCAGACTTGCTCCAGGCTTTCCAGCTTAATTGTCTTGACCTACGAGAAAGACAATGCATTAATGCTCAGAGGATGTCTGCAAGGCAAGTCACAAAGGTATTACATGTGCACAAATTTCGGACAAACACTATACAAACCATATTATTACATTTCAGTTTTATTACTGCTGTATTTTTACTCGAAGCATACAGGGAAAAATTAAACTCTTGTTAAAATGATCTAAATAGATGTAGAGTTTAGGGTTGAAACAATTAATCAGACTAATAATCATTCATCAGTTATTAATGGCAGTATACAGAGTAAAACGTGGAAACAAGTAAGAGGCCCTGTTGTAGCTGTTTTAAAGGGACATAGTCAAGTATTATGACTAGGGCTGGGTACCGAACATCGGTTCTTTTATGCTACCGATCGAAATGCTTCGGTTTTACAGAGTATCGAAACATGCCTCATCTTTCGGTGCCAAGTTTCGGTGATTGGCTGTAACACTTAACGTGATTGCGTCATCCAGGAAAAATACATAGGTGGTCACACCTACAGCCCGGGTTCATGTGTATCTGTTGTGAACTGGTTGCGAGCGTCGTGGAACCCCTTTAAAATGCCCCCCAGGTCAAAAGTGTGGCTTCACTTTATTAAGACTGATGCCAATGCAATACATCGTGCACGGAAACAATTTAAGACCAGAAAGTTGCTCAGTGTTTGACTGCAAGAAGAGCAGACCGCAGCTCGCGCAACCATACTCCTCTCAGCAGCCAGTGGGCAGTGCAAAGCCAGAGCGGACTGAATCATGCCGAGTTCACACTGGACGCAGCAGGAGCAACAAAATCGCGTCTGCTGCTTCGTTTTTGCTGCTTGTAGCAGTTTCTGACGCGCGGCTGAAGAAGCTTTCGAAAAGTGGCTCTGATGCGCGTTGGTCGGAGCCACTCTATCCTTTATTTGCCTGGCAGCGATATTTTCTGTGATCAGTGGGAATAAAGTAGTTTTATTATGTTTTTACTTGAGAAAATCCACCTGAAAACTTAATCAGTGCAGTCAGTTCATCCAGATTACCATCCTGTCTTCCAATATTATTTCTGTCGGAGCTGCTCAGACCCCCACATACCAGCGGTGCTCTGTCCCGTTCTCGTCCCGTTAGCCATCTTTTTCTGCACATGTGCACTTTCAGCTGCATATGGCAAGCTACGGTTTCAGCCAGTCATTGAGGCTCACTTTTCTCCCAGCGGTTCTTTGAAAATGGCCGAGGGTCGTAAGAGAAAAAGTGTCTACGAAGTGAATGAAAAGAAAAGAAAGGCCTCAGTAGAGGCAGAGATATCCCAGAATGCTTTTTGCTGAGAGCTTCCTTCGCAAAGTACTATGGGACCTGCTGTTGTTTGCTATAAGTTCCACTATATAGTCCCCGCTGTATGTGGACACGGTAAGCTTGTATGACCTATTAGCACAACACATTTTAAACAGGGTGTGCCCAAGGAGAAATGGGCTTGTGCATGAGTTTGCGTGTGCATTTTTTTTTAAAGTGGAGAGGGCAGGTCTTTAAAAAAAAATTCTCCACAATACCTTTAAATAAATAAAATCTAAATGGCACGTGAAAACATTTGTTCATGCTATAACTCTGAAAACAACATGGCAGCTGCAGATGTAACACATAAGCTTTATCCATATTTCAGCCACTGCTTTATAGGGCACCATCATCCTCAAACTACTTCCTGTCTTCATCTTTTTACAAGGCAGCAGGTTCAGTTGCAGATCATGTGACTCATATTATGCGAAAGAAGCGTTTCCATTGCAGTTGTCTGAGATATAAGAAGATCCACGTAACTGAACACACCCCCCAATCAAAGTGCAAAAACAATAAAAAAAATTTTGGTTTTTCTGTTTTTTTTTTCATTAAGCATATTAGGTTTTTAGGTAATTACAATTTGGCTAATTTGATGTTCAATGGAAATGCAGCTATTCTAAGTACGCGGCTACACAAAGCACTTTGTTTACCAACTAATAAGGCAAAATCAAAAAGTAAAATAGAAACGAGTCAACAGCTTGTGATATTTCAATCGGATGACTTATGTATTCAGAGGGATATACTGCTGTAGAAATGAGTGAGGTCATGATTCATGACTAGCCCCCTTTAAAGCTGTATGGTGAAATAGCTCAACATAGAAATCTCCATCAACACAACTGTAGTGTACAAATAACAGAAATGAGCAAAAAATGGGCTTTACCTTCTTATCAGACGTGGCATTCTTGTCCTCTTCGGAGTTTGTTGGCTTTGGGCTTCATGACAGCATGTCAAGACAGAAGAAGAATATGAGAAAAACAATTTTCTTTTTTAAAATGCAGTTACTTTTTACACAATTGGTAATGTATTAAAAGTTGTTATTCAAACGCTAAACCAGACCAGGGTATCTTAATGGCACGCAGGGCTCATTTAGCCTGAAATTAAACTGTAAATGAAACAAGCATAGTGTTATTCTATGCAGTATTGCATTGCTCTTATCTGAACACTGCTTTTATTCCTAAAAAGATGCTTTTATTTTGAAGGAGAAATGCTCTCTACCGAAACCGATGGTCCAACTCAAGCAAGTAAGCCGCTATAAGCAGGCTCTGCACAGTCAAATAACAGAATACAGAGGATTTTATAAAATTTAAAGTTGTGTGTCGTCTAACCACTTTAAAAAAAAGCCTGCTGTGTGAAAGTACCCCAAGGTACACACCTTTGTTCAAGATAATGACTGCTCCTGACCCACAGATGCCCACCTTTTGAGAAACAACACTGAATCCAGATTTTTTTTAGTGTAAATAAATAAAGAAAAAAGAAGAAATCAAAAACCAATCTGAATTGTTTTTTTCTGACTAATTGAAACTTTCTCAAAGCAAATAGTTTGTATAACGTAACTGACTAAAAGACATTAGAAAACCCATCTAATTTTGGCTTTTGCTGGTGCTCTAACTTCTAGCTGGCCACAGATGCAGAGCGATTATACATTATTTTGAGTATACAACGGTTATACTTTGCTATCTGATGCTAAGCTAGAAGAAAGTGAACTGAAAATTAACTGATTTTTTTAGCTAAAAATAAAAAAGGTCTAAAAATCTTTTTAACTGATGTCTGACTCATCTTCTCTTTTTGGATCATTTTAGTCGGGCAGTTTTTGAAAATTTGGCTAAATGCTGAATTAAAACCTTCGACGAAGGCAATAAAAGAGTTTACACAAGCTCAAAAAGATTTCTGCAACAAATCACCATCACTAATTCAGTCAGAGTGGCGTGAAATAACGTGAAGCAAGCCGTCGAGATGCCGACTAGTCTGTGGTGCCAGTGGTGCATACAGGTGTCTATTCATCTCTTTGCTCTCATCAATTACACAGGCCAATGACAGATCCTTCTGCTTTCATTTGGCTGCTCATATATGCATGGTAATAAATGCATTTGATATTAAAGTGAATTAATTTATTCATATGAAGATGAAGTACACACTGTATGGTTTGTAATGAATGCAAGCACTTAATGCCACCAGACTTCTTGACATCCCCAACAGTGAAGGATTTCCTCTCTTACCCTTTGTGTCTTAGAAGCACATGCACAAGCCATCATTTAAATGATCTTATTTATCAGCTCTCAAGTACATAGACTCAAACATTTAATCTGTCTCTCTATCTGAACAGCATGAGAGGCAACACTGAATGAAAACTTAGCCTTGATGTGTGACAGAGAACAGATGTTGGATGTGCTGGAGCAACATCATAGGCATACGTTAGTAGAGAGCTGCTCTACAGTCATAATCATCTTACAATGACCCGAGATACTGATTTGATAATAGTGCCCCAGTCTCTAATGTTGGAATAACAATTCAACATAATCCACACTGATCTTTTCTAAGGTTACCATCAATGATTATGCAATTTATGTTTTGGTCTCAGCTCTCAGATTTTCAATGTTATTATTCCTAAAATAAAATAAAAAAAAGAAATCTTGTCATGAGGGCGTTTAGTTAAAAAATACCCACACTAATCACAGATAGTAACCCAGAATTCAAACAGCTATCGATTTATTTAGGCTCGTTGGTGACGTTGGGCCTCCATGTCAAACATGTCATCTGACAAAACAGTTTGATTAACATTTGAATAGAATTTTTTAATAGTGATTGATATAATTGACATGTTTGTTTCTTGTAATTCATGCCTTCCAGAAAGCTTTATCAAGTTTAGAAAAAGGGATGAGCACAGGATCCTCACCAGGATGCTTTATCAGCATTGCCAGTGTGTTTGTGTGTGGAGGATATTTATTTTTATTTATTTTTCTCTTCTGCTCTGCTGTCTGGGCTATAGCGTGTTCACCTGCCTTGTTCAGCTGATGGTGGTCTTAAGGGTTCTGTAGGAGATCTTGGAAAAATCTTGCCTCTCCCCTCAGACCACCCCTCGAACCACACCTTCAAAACACATGAACAGCAGCGCTGATGATGGAGAGCACTATGATCACTCCTCTAAAACAGTTTAACGCCTAAATTAACTTAAAATGCCGAAATCTGACGGTAAAACATGTTCACTTTTATTATCCTGGTGCCTGCAGTTTGGATTACATACATGAAAAACACCTTCCAGCCACCATGGCAAACCGCGAGGAGGCGACCGGGCCATAGGCTGCTGTTGAATGGGATTCCCAGTGACAGTGCACTGCTGGTGTTCGGGGGTCTGAGCAGCTCCGACAGAAATAATATTTGAAGGCAGGATGGTAATCTGGATGAACTGAATGCACTGACGATGTTTTCAGGTGGACTTTCTCACTTCAAAATAAATTCAAACTACTTTTTACCCACTGCAAATATAGCTGCCATTGTTACAGGCATAGAAAGGATAGCTCGTGCATTTTTGCTGCTTCAGTTCTAAATAGGGTAACCAGACATCCTCTTGTTCCCAGGCATGTCCTACTTTTCATACCTAAAAAAAATGTCCGGGGGGAATTTCAAAATCATCCAGGTATCTGGTCGACTACAGTGCAGCAGAACCGAGCCGTGAGCTCCGGGGCTGGGGACAGAGTGACCGAACCTGACCTGGTGAAGGTACGTTTTCCCCTCTTGCCGGGTAAGGCAGGCAGGGGGAAGCATACTGTCACCAGGGCGGGTTCGCTGCTGTTCCCCGACCAACCCCAGAGCTCAAGCAACAATGGACTCTGGAAAAGTAAGCTTTTAAGTTGGTTTTCATACTCGAGATTAGTGCAAAGGAAGACAGATACATATGATAGAAGTCGAGATTACACTTGCTGTATTATATGTGAAGTACAAGAGCAGAGCCCAAAATATTTCAAATCTGAGGAAGCATCTGGTTAAGCACAAGGTTTTTCACAAGCCTGAATTGTGCACACTTATCAACAGCCTCATATCCAAGGCAACAACTTCTGCTTTCAGCACAGTTAGTGGGTCGTCTCAAGCAGGCAGCAATATGAAACAGCTACAACACCATCTCCATCTGCTTAAAGTAAATAAATACAAAAATTATGCTCGACAAGATTTTTCAAATCTATGGGGAATTGTCCACAATGACACAACAATGCAATGACTCATAGGCAGCTGTTAAAGCAACCAGGGATCCCAGAACACAAAGGCTGACAGCATCCAGGCCAAACTGCACTAATGATGTATTTCATAAAAAAGGAGCTCACACCAAAAGCTGAGAAATTCCTTCTACATCTCCAAATTTCAGTTCAAATATAGTTGTTGTTTGTTTTAATCTTCCCTATCCTGGTTTTCAACAAAAACAAATGTCGTTAGTTTGTATGTATTTTAAATGATTAGGCTATTTTCAATAAAGCTACAGGAGACAAAGCCTAGTGTACAAGTTTCCCTTCCTGACATTAAAACGTTTAAAATCTGAGCTTTTACACGACCAAATGTTTTTAAATGCACCTGTATTCTCTTATTTGATCAAGTTCGTACTTGTTAGAGCAAAAATATTTGAATTTAAAAAAGGGCATAAGATAACATATAATTATTTTTTTAATTTGAATTCAAACTTTGAACCGACGTATGATTTACAAGTCTTTCAATTTGAATATCTAAATGCAATTATTAAAAAAGAAAAAAAAGTTGCTTAAGTACTTTTCTTTGATTGATCGACACACCCCTCACCTGTTCAATGGCTCTGCACCGGAACCAGCGCTCTCACTCAGCCTTTTCAGTTTGGTTGCTTTTTGCTTCTTCGCTGGATCTCCTTTAGCGTAATTTTCTCTCCCCATTTTACCGCAGATCTTCTCGAAAAGCACTTAGAAATTAGTTTGTTAAAAAATACATTTAAAAACCACAAAAACCGTTGGACAAACGCCAGGATGATTAGCCTAAATTATATTAGCCGCCATATTAGTCATTAGTTAGCTAAGAACTTTAAGCAATGTCAACTCAAAAAAAAGAAAAAATAGCAGCTGACATTAATTATGTAATTAAAATTAAAATATAACATTCAATGAAATACACTGAACAAAATTACTCACCGTTTGGAATATCGGTAAAATTGGGATATTTTCCTTGCAATGCAACCTAAAAGTTTTTCTCCTGTGTTGACTTAGCCATCGGCGGCGGTTCCAGCTGGATTCTGATTGGATAAAAAAAAGTCTCGCGAGTTTTCAATTTCAGCAACGTTCAACTGGGATACTGGTCATAAGCACTAGAGGCGCTTCAGAGCTAGGACTGGAGGGGGCGGGGGTTGGACATGTAAAACTTTTTTAACCGGTTTAAAATGGTTTTTGATCATGTTTGAATATATTTAACTTGATGAACATATTTTTTTTCGCCCAGAATTCAATTAAGATAGACTGAGTTTAATTGAATCAAAACAAACGTTGTGGTCAGGAGTTTTGGTCTTGATTGGCCTGTCTCTTATATACACATATAGTCTTTTATAAATCTTCTGTAATATACATTTATGGAAACCAAATTTTTACATGCACTGTCAGGATAAGTATATTTATCTGTTTGATAAATATACTTATCTTTTCATATTTAGGACAGAAAGTATTTACAAAGTTAAATTTGGTTAATAACTAGATTGAATTTGATATAGTACTATAAACCGAAAATATTTTTTCTTTTAAAAAAAATGGGGAAACTACAATAATGGCATGTGAGTGAGCTTCAAAGATTTTTTTATTTTTCATTAGGTTAAATAGAGGCACACTCATGGATACATATTAAGGCAACTCTTCAGTTATACAGCTTCCTTTTGTGACATGAAAAATTATAAGAAATCTACCAAAACATCAGAAACAGAATGGTGAACTTTGACAAACGTGTTTCATACTTGGGTTTTGTTTTTTTGTTTTTGCAGATGCCTGAAGGTGCCACATAGTTTTTTTTTTTTGTTTGTTTGTTTTTTGTTCTTGTTTTTTTTTATATATATATTCAGCTATATTGGGTTGCCAACATACAATTGTTTATGTCATAAACATATCCAAAGGCATTTTTAATATTAGAAATTTTCTGATTAATTTATTAGTTGTTGTGCATCACAGACGTCAATGTGGAGAAATACATTGCTGATTTGCAGAACAACCAGCAGCTGCAGGTTGTTGGAGAATAAGGACTATCTTTTGGAAAGGGCTGACACTGAAAATACGCACAAAAGAAAAATACAACAAATACTATCTGTGCTTTGACCAATGCAATTTTATACACATCATTATACATTTTACAAATAAATAATATAACAGCATGTTTTTTCTACTGAACATGATCAGAGTGTTTGTGTTGTTATCACTAATACTCTTTATTGTGTTTTAATATATTTTTTTATAGTGATTCTTCCAAGAGTGATAAAGCAGATTGATTAGTTGCAAAATTCACTGATTGGGCAAAAAATAACAAAGAAAGTAAAGAAAAAAAACAAAAAGAAAAAAACAGCCTGGTTCTTTCAAATATTTTTATTAGACAGAATATTCTTTGCCAGCTACAAAATTTTCTTAGGACTTTTAAGAATAATGTGTACGGAAGAGGATTAGGGCCACTGAAAAAACAAAACAAGGTTGCTAAATTTTACATTTTATTTCAGTATAATATGAACATATGAGAAGAAGTCAGAATTCGGATTTTAATCTCAGAATTCTGACTTTTTTTTTTCAGAATTCTGACTTTAATCTCAGAATTCTGACTTATTTCTCGAATTTCTGACTTTTTTCTCAGAATTTTGGATCTTAATGTAGATGGGCACAATGAAGGAAGAGCACTCAGCTTCGCTGACAAAGATGTGAGTTGTTTGGGGAAAAAATTACAAAATTAGGCAACTTTTTACGTGCCTGAGGGGTCCCCGGTGATGCTATCTCATTAATGGAGGAGCAAAAGGTGATTAAAACAAGAGTGGTAGTCTCTAAAACAGACATGGCTATGACTTGATGATAACATGTTTGTTAGCCGTCATAATTCAGGAAAAAAAAGTCAGAATTCTGAGAAAAACAGTATTCTACAACATAACTTTATTCCCATATTAAACTGAAATAATATTTAAAAATCAGTAATCTTTTTTATATTTTTTAGTGGCCCTAATCCTCTTCCGTAAATGTGTACTGTCACTTTAAGAAACCCGGAAATGATCCTTTCTGGCATTCGTTGCCTGTGTCGGGATTGTCTCTGCAATGATATCCAACCCTGTTACTTGGGCTGTCCGAATTAGTGTGAGGTGCTGGCGACACCGAGCCGTGTTTAAAGGGCTTCCAATAGCCTCAGGCGTCGGCAGCTGGCGCTGGTACTCTGCTCCCACTCGAAGCAGTGTCTCGGTTATGGAGGAGATATTGGCGAGGGTCATTGTACCTTTACCTTCATATGAAACGAGAGACAAATTCCCACCTCCGCCCGAATCGACTAGTTTAGAGTTCATGAACTTCTATAGAGGTCTCGAAAAGGAAGACAAGGTGGATTTTCTGTCCAAGCTGTCAGAGGAGTGCGGAGTGGATCATAAACTGGTTTCAGAACTTGCTGTGAAGTTACTGGACACTCAGCGGCGGGACCAGGCGACCATTCTGCAAGCTGAGGACAGACTCCGGTACAGCTTGACGCCGCGGTACAAGCAGCTGTTCAGCCATGTAAGCCGGGTTGAAGGTGGAGTGAAGTTCCTGGTGGATCTCCGTGCTGATCTGCTGGAAATCCTCACATCTAAAGCAAGCGAAAGTCCACACATCAGGGTAATGTGTTTGTTTACTTTAGCTACGGGTGCTCGGATGACTCAAACTGTGTCGTACGTGTTGCTGCAATTAGCAAAGAACCAGAAACCTTGCATGTGATGATGCATTTCTAACTGTATGTGTGGTCACTGGTCACGTGGTTCAGATTTCATCACAGGTTGGCTGAGATGCCTGATGGGACCTTTGCCCCAATTATAATTTCTTAGAAAACTTATGTTATATATTTGTGCTTTATACTACATTCAAACATTTCAGTGCATTTTAAGAGACAGACCAACATAAATTAAAAGACAAATATGAAAGAGAAGAAATATTATCAAGATTAAAGGGACATCTGAAAAGTGTGGCATGCATATACTTTCACCCTCTCCAGGTTTTATATTGGTATAACTATCTTTTGCTGTTATGACATGTGTTGCATATCTCAAAGATTTGTGTATTGCTCCAAACAAAGGTTTAAGGTCAGTCAAATTGGGTCGAGGGCTTCTGTTATGATCAGCTTTACTTTACAGTCTTGACAAAGATTCTCTTATGGCTTTACATGGTGACTTTGATATCACCACTAAGTTACATACCATGACTGTAAAAAAACACACATATAAAAAAAAAACAAGTTCAGATAATACTGCATAAACCCAAGCTTTTTTCCCAATACTGCTTACTTCTTTCTTTTTGAGTCTGTAAAGAACTTTTGAACCATCAGCAAAGTTAGACAAACATGTGCGCCATGTGCTGTCAGATATAATCACAGGTGTCAAGTAACGAAGTACAAATACTTCGTTACTGTACTTAAGTACACATTTTAGGTATCTATACTTTACTCCATTACTTATTTTTCCTCCTACTTTTGACTTCTACTCATTACATTTTCACACAAGTATCTTTACTTTCTATTCCTTACATTTTTAAAACAAACGTTACTCGTTACTCTTGGCTTCGGTTTAAAGCACAGGTCACGGATTATTTGACTAGGGTGTTATGAACAACATTAAATCCAAAGATTTTGTCCGAGGTAAAGCTGATGTATTTGTTGTAGTCTCTTGTTATTCACACACAACAATAAACAGTGATTAGCCGACGTGGGTTTTAAAACTGCAAAGCTTTGTCTTCAGCTGAAAATCAAACACGCATCTACACAGACCAGTGTGATGCATTCGCGAGCGTCAGACAGCTCTGGTGCATTCAGGAGCGTGGGACATTTCATACTTACAAGGAAAGAGACAAAAACGGAACGTAACTCATACAATAATGTATTTATTCAGAAACAGTTTGGGCTTTCTTACAATACTGAATGCTCTATAATTGTGTTTCTGTTATTTTTTGATTATTCACATCTGCTAGCTTTTTATTCTAAAAAATCTATAATATTACAGCAGCAAATTATTAAAGTTTTTCAAAAGCCTGTTTAAAAGCTCCAAATGAGGCTTCGGATCGTACAGCGACAATTGCGCTGTCATTGTTTTACAGGCAGGATTTGCATTTCCTGAATCTTCTCTTTTAACTAGTGATGGATATACAGGAATACAGTCATACAAGTGTCAACTCCTCTCAGATAGAACAGGATGCAATATTTGGCCATTTCTATTTTTATTTTTTCATCTTTTTTTTTTATTCAGTGTAACATGAATGCATAAATATGTCATTTTATTGCAGTGTTAAATTCTGTTTAAAGTAACAGATCATTAAAAATGTCTCCTGACATTTACTGGTTGATTTTCTTTATTCGGACCCCACTGATTTTTTATTAGTTACCCGTGGTTTAATGTTTCTAAATATATATTTCACGTCATGTGCGCCATCCAATGCAGATCATTGGTGCCATCCACATCTAGTGAAAACTAGTGTAATCGGATGAGTCGTATAACGCAAACACTCATTGGTTAGTTAAAGGAAATCATCAGAAGCAAGCAGGTGTTCTTCAAACTGTAAACATGAATTATCTATGCCATGCTAAAATGTCGGATTCAGAAAAACATGTCTTAATGTCTGAAAGGTCGGACACAGGCGAGAGCGTATCGGGAGACGGAGACCAACAAGACCTCCCTCATCCTTGGCCCTATCTCAAATAATTTTTTGAAATAGACGAGAAATTGAGCTTTTAATTCATATAGTGGCATCTGGCCTTTTTCTTAAAGGTTACTTTATACTTTTATACTTTAAGTAGTTTTTGGAGCACATACTTTTTCACTTTTACTTGAGTAAAGAGGTCAAGTTGATACTTCAACTTTTACCAGAGTGTTTTTAAACTGCATTATCTATACTTCTACTTAAGTAACAAAAGTGTGTACTTTTGACACCACTGGATATAATGGACCAAGAGGGCCCAATAACTTTCTCTGTGACAGTGAATGAACTTGCTAAAGGAATAAGCATTTCATTTGATGTATCAGTGCTGATATGGTTTCAATTAGAGATCAACTGATACAGGTTGTTTAAGGCTGCTCCCAATACAAGATATTTTGATATCTTTCCAATCGATCCTGAATCCTGTCAACTTTTTGGGGGGAGGGTTTGAAGATCCAGGCAATCAAAATATATACCTGGCCAGTATTCAGATATCTTGCTGGGGTGATAAGTTGGCCTGAGGTGGAAAAAATCAGGCCGCTGATGTTAAAACACGAAAGCTACTCACAGTGCATGGTGGACTCCACCCCAAATCCAGTATCCACCGACTTTGCACTAGGAGCAAAAGGAGGAGGAAGAGGCCTGCTGAGCATTAGAGCCACCACTGAAGATGATACATCCTAGCTCCTAGAATACATCAGGAAGATAGCTCCAAGGGATGAGGCACTCAGGGAATGTCATGGAAGGTGGAAGGACAGAACCAAAAGCACTGATCATGGTAGCTCAGGAGAAAACCTTGAGAACCAGAGCAATCGAGGCAGAGTCTAACACGGCAGACAAAATCCCAGGTGCAGGCTATGCTAAGAGGTCCCAGAAACAATCCAGCATCTCACAGCAGGGTGTAAGATACTGTCACAAAAGGAATACATGGAATGTAATAACCAAATGGCTGGTATAGTGTACAGAAACATCTGTGATATATATATATATATATATATATATATATATATATATATATATATATATATATATATATATATATATATATATATATATATATGCCTCCTTACTTTGTTCCAGGGTATCACAAGGGCAAAAGATCCTTTAACAATGTTTGATTGAGCACAAGAGAAGGAAAGTGTTACTTTGCTGCTTGTACAAATTGAAAGAGCTGAATATAAATCAGGCATGTAATGAGTATTTTGAATGAATCCTTTGAAGGCAGAGTGGATTCAAAGAAAAAGTAGTGGAAAGAACAAATACCACATTTCTCTCACAGTCAGGGACTTGACTCTAGTGGGTTTTTTCTCTCTCAATACTCCATTTTCTTTACTCTAGAGCAGAAAACCTGCTCTCATACACTGGATTGTTCAGTTCACTATAATTACAGTCTGATTCTGCACAGAGAGTGAAGCAGCATTTATCCACTCCATAAAGCTTATAGGTAGGCTTGCTAGTGCTTAACGTATGCAATTAGATCTTAGAAATATAAATAAACTTTTATTTATACCGTCTGCTTATTAGTCCATGCCTGCACTATTTGACAGAATTACTCTTGCTAAAATATTGCCTGTGTACAGGGCTGGGAGGAAGTACTTCTTCTTTTTTATTTCATTATTTCTTCTTTTTGCATTTCATGTTTACAATTTTAGGATCATCAAAAGGATGGACCGACTAAACAGAAAAAATAAATTTGCAGCTGATTCTAATCATGCTTTTTGTTTCATCTAAACTTTTTATTGTTTTATCTATTTCATATGATTTTACTAATACTTAAAAAAAACAATCAAGATAATGAAGGGATTTTAAAATTATGATCAAATGTGGTATCAAATAGAATCAGGAATGAAGAGACAAAAAAGACAGATATAAACAGTTTAGAATATTAATTATTACACACTTAAAATTAACCTTATAAGGAAATTAAGTTCAAGTTGAACTGATTCATATTTCATTTATGTTGTGATGTTAGATTTGCTAAAAAAAAAAAGGTAAGAAGATGATAATGATATTAAAGTCAGATTCATTAAAAAATGTAGATAAAGAATATATAAACATGATTAACATATGATAATCTGGCAGATAACTAAAAAATAGGAAGAATGAGGTTTATTCAAAAATATACACAGATTAATTTTTTGTTTTGATTCTAATTTGTTTTGTTTTTTTTATTTGTGGGTGTCTTGTGGGGTTCGAGATTTTTCTGTTAGTGGTCTTTTGGCCTCAAGTAACTGATTTTATAACATCTGTGACCTGTTGGCTGTAAAGAAAAACATTCGGTTCTATGATTTACAGCAAACTCTGCACCTGCTAGAGCCACAATCCTGACTATCATATATCTCATCCTAATTGTAAACATTTAAATCCAAAGCAGACATGGTGAAAATGAGATACTGCTGCTTGAATTCCTCTGGAGCTCCTCTTTGTCCATTAGCATTAAAATGTTTTGGCTTTAGCTTTGATGGATGATGGAGTGAAACATGTTTGTCATTCTTTTGATTAAAACCTTTTTCTATGATAAACAGCTGGGGAAATGTGAAGGACTTTACCTCTGTGCTATAACCGGTCCCCCTCAGCTCTGTGTCTATTATTTCCCTGCTGTGAGGTGTTCGGATACATCCAGGCTCACACAGAGCTTGTATAACCAGTAAAGGTCCTGGCTACCTACACGACACCTATGCCACCACCTTGGTCCTGGTGGAGCTTTTCAGTCATTGCTTGCTGTTATTTCCAGGATTGATTGAGCTAAAAACAAGGAAAGGTCATTTTGGTTATATAAGCTTTTAAAACTAAAATGATACGTGTTTACAGACTGGAAAATAAGCTGAGAAATCAGAGCGAGATGATTATCAGAGTGGAGCTAAAATGCCATCAAAGGAAGGAAGGCTGGATTATATAGCTCTGCGTGTACTACTATCTTTGGTTCTTACAAAAAA